CAATAAAATGATAGAACTGAAAACGATGGATGCATTTAGATTTGTTTCAACAAGTAATTTCCAATTCAATAAAACAGTTGAATTTAAGTTTAAATTATAAAACATAACTTTCTACGCTTTTCTAACACATTCGGTTCTGTTGTTGATCTCGGATCTATCACCATCTTCTTGTCATAAATAACTACATTGATAATCGATTCTATTGCTAGTAAAAAACGTCGAATCTTCCATCTGCAATATCTTCCTTACATTGCGACTATACACTTTTTTGGTCAAGATATCAAATAGGATCAAGTAGATGAATATGACTTGTTGTTTGTTTGAATTTTGCAATGAAATATAATTCAAAGAATAATGCAGAATATAGCAAAAGGAAATGACAAGAATAATTGTTTATCTGTGCGCTTGTTTGCATTGAATTAATAAAGTTTTGCCCGTTTTTCTCTATCATATAGCTGTGCCACATTTTCGTTAAAACAGAGGAGCATCTAGCGAATTAGTTTTGTACCAATAATGTTAATGTTAACTGTAACGGTGTACTCTCGTTTCACCGACTTTTCTAAAAATATAGAAATCTATAGTTCTTGTTTCGTCTACTTTTTTCTTAATTGATTTATTCATACTAATTACGTGATTATGTACAAAAAATTAAATTTAGAATTTTTTAATACCAATCAGTTTCATACTTCGATCATGAAACCTTCAATTTTTACATCATTTACTGACTTCGGTATTGAAGGATAACTTTTATTACGTGCAGTATAAAGTGACGTTTTTATTTTTTTAAAGGTTGGTGTCGTAGCTATTTGGTATGATGCTGCCCCCTCAATGGTGGCCCCAGGATCCATCTTGTACCTTACTGTCTCTTATTCGCCAAGCTATTGTGAAACTTTCGGAACACGACCAACTCACAAATAGACATTTTCGTTGATATAAATTACAGAACACGCCCCCGAAATCTCTATTGCCTGTACGTAGAGAAAATTTTGTTTTAAAAAAGTGAGTTTTTTAGATGTTTTCAAAATTATCGATTTTGTAAGGTTCATATTTCGGAGACAAAGCTATGAAGCGAAATAGTCTCTTTACCTATCGATAGCTCATGAAGTTCACTACAAAAAATGTTTTTAAAGTTTTTGAATTCCGTGCTTCCTTAATTTTTTGCAATCGATCTACAAATGGTCACTCCAGTGATCAAGGGGGGTAAAGGGTTAAAATAAACTGATTGATTTATTGATTCATAAGAAAAAAATTTACGATACTTCATAGAACTAATAGGTTTGCGTTAGATCGTTATGGGAAAGACATTCAAAAAATGGCATCGCCCGAAATCTGCTGTCATGAAAAATGTGCAGTAGTCGAGAAGTGTGACAGCCATTATAGACCATAAGATCCTTAACTTGCAGTTAAGCGAACAATCATCACCTGCATGGTAGTACGAGAAAATGGCTCTTAATAGGACAATATGAAATGTATACAAAATTTCAGATCTTTCCAAACTATATTCTCTTTTTGACTTTACTACTTTCGGTTTTTCAGAAGGACACATTAAAATAGACTCGGAAGGTATGATCATGTTGTGTGGTTAAAACCCAACTCTAGAAAATTAAAAGCAATGTCAAAACTTCACTGCAGAACTTCTATGTTTTATCGACTAAGTATTTCAAAAGAATATAAAGTAGATATATCGGAGTCGAAAAGATGAAAAACTTGATTTATAACAGTTTGAGGTGATATTGTTTAAATTTTGTTCACTATTCTGTCCTCTCTTTTTCGTGATCTCAACCTCTCATTTGTGTCGCAAAATGTTATCTGATTGTTTTATGTTGATTGAAAATAATTTACTATGTCAAATTCGCATTTTCCATCAACGCTGTTATTTTTAAAGATGAAATGATTGAATTTTTGTTGAAAAATTTATGGATATATGACGGAAGATACGATTATAGTCGTCAGAATAAAAATGCGTGTATTATGTGTGCTTTTAAAATCGTCAACTATGTTTGTCATTCACACCTTCATTTGAACTGTAATCATCGTTATTGTTGTCAACTTGGATATTGTTGCGTCTTGCAGGAGTCGCTTCAGTGGTTAGATCATCAATTTTTCTTTTAGCTTTGAAATATTACTAGTTTCTTTTCGTATTGCATGTTTAATCGTTTTCTTCAATCAATCTTTCGTGTTAATCATTATTGAATAATACCATTTTCAAATGCTCCCGTTCAATTCAGTGCGATCTCTAGAAAATGAACAAAGGCTTAATTGAAAATCAGCGCAAGTCAGCCCGTTTAGTTAGGTGTCTAATTTAAAATAAAACAAACCCGAACTCTCTAGCTTGATGTATATTAAAAAATCCTTAGAAAAACTTCAGAGTCCTTTTAGAACCTTGTTCTCTCGAAAACTCCTAAATGGTAAGTCTTGGAGACGCACGAAATTTTCATTCCCATAACTCATTGTGTCTAACATTTATGAAAAGTTTCATCAAAATCGGATGTACGATGTTGGAGATAATTTCTTAGAGAGGCCCTTAAGCCTAGCAAAAGTAGGATTCTCAAGAAAGATTATCTCTTTAACAAAACGAAAAACTAAATTTTATTGAATAAAGCTCTAATGTTGAATTTTTCTCAATCAAATATTCGTTTTTGGAAAATATCAAGGATCATTACGAAAAGTAGGACTCCCGAAAAGAATTTTTCCTAGATCTTATTGATCTGAAATAGTTGGTTCAGCGGTTTTCGGTATTTTCTTCATTTCACAAGAATTTTGCAACCTCTTAGTAAAATCCCTTTTAAAGGACGGAATTAGCAGTATTTTTGTTTAAAATTTGTAAATAAAAGTCGTCACGATTAATATGGTTGGAAAGATATAAGACATTCGTTATGCGTTAATGGTTTCGTAATCTTTGAAGCGATCAGATTGACCCCAGTCAAGGTATGTCGATTATTTACTGCAAAGAAGATATGTATACTTTATTTAAGAGTATTCACTACACGTGAATGGCTTCTCACTTACTTGCCTGATGTATTTGTGCTATTTACTAGTGACTAATATATTATACAGTTGAAATAAATGGGCTATGCACTAAAATACCGCGTTTAGGCTCATACCAGTTATATAAAAAATGCATAATTTAGTGTATTTCCACTGTAGTTACAAAAACGTCATACCTAAATCAATCAATCCTACATAGGATCTTATAGGGTTTTTATAAGATCTTATGGGGTAGAATAAGGGAAGAAAACAGAATACACGAACAGACAGTCTGCTCTTGAGAGAGTCTAAAATTGAGGGAAACTAGAGATATCAGCAGTCATAAGAAGAAACAAAGATTGCAAACTGCCGATGATAAGAATCTCCGATCGCAAAAAGGTTAATTTGATCTTTGAAATACCACTATCAACTATTACATGTTGCTCTAGAAGCATTCTACTAACACTCCTATAATACTTGCATTCCATATCAATGGAAAAAAATAATTTTGATTTAAAATGGAAAAAACCGAAGTATGACACCGTAGTTTAGTGTGCCATTGTATATATATATTGAATCGAGCAAAATAAATATATACACAAACGGGCACCGTTATTTTCCTGCTTTACTTTATTGTTCGACTGAAAAGTCACGTTTCATCCATCATTTTCCTGTTTGCTACACGTTGATGGATGACGACGAAGTACAGAGCCGTTTTTTCTTTGTTTTCCTCCTGTTTTCCATTTACTCATCATTCATTAGAATGAAATGCATATAAATAGCAAGCAAATGACATGTAAATTATTCACTTCATTGAAGTGAATGTCACAAATTCAAGTACATGGTACGGAGAATGAATAATTAGTGAATACACAGTATATTTTCCGTTTACTACTGCAGAAGCGATTGCATGAGCACAGTAAATGGAAAGTAAATGTTTTTCAAATGGCAAGCCTATGGACAGACATTTAACAAAATTATTAGCTCATATGCATGAAGGATGCACATGCAGATTGGATGCTTTATTCACTTGAATTGAATAAACTATAAATTGTAAAAAAAAGTTTTTTCCATTGTATAATACACTAATATACTTCTTGTTTGTTCTCTTTATAAATAAGAAGTACTTGTATTTCTGAACTTTCCTCTGCGGCTCCGATATGTGATTAGTGATGATTAAACCACCATTATAAATATTATATAAAGCTCATACAGTTGACACAACAATCGATCATTTAAAAAAAACCTGTACATATATATACATGTGTTTAGCAATGACAATAAAGTTGCTCAAGAGTAATATTGTCGTTTTTTTTGCAACCTAGCATTTGTTGTGCATCAATGCATAAAGCCTTGGATACAAACTATTTTATTCAAACTAATTAAAAAAGACAAATATACATCCATTTTTTTGGAGCAGCTGAATATGAAATCATAATAGAAATACAAACGACATTGTTTAATACTTTTGCCGTTTTTAGATAAATTTTTCAAAGAAAACGGTCAAGATACTTGAAAAATAGGTAAATGTGCATCGATCTGATTTAGTAACAGAAAGTCACAAAGAAAAAAAGATAAAATGAATCGGAGGGTATGCATTTATTTTGTGTGTGAGAGAGAGAAAGGAGAGAGAAAGAAAGGAACAAAGAGCATAAAACCACAGATATTTCAAATACGGTTATGAGTAAAAAAAAATACCCATGAATAGACACACAGGTGAACTACCAGCATCCACATACTTAAAAGAATACATATCATACAAAGCATCCTACCACTGCTATATTCGATAGTGAATAATATGAAAAAATCTTACTAGACAAATTATTACTACTGCTTCGATTATTTGTTGACACTAATTGGTTTTCCGATGAAAACGAATTTTCAATTATCAATTCTTTATAGCATTTAGCTTTACTTTTCATCTCTATTTTTGTAGTCTATTTGAACGGTTCATGCTAAACCTTGGACAAGTGGAATGACATCGTAATCGATTCCCGGAATTGTTCAGTTAATCTTAATCAATCTCGCGTACTATGCCGCTACAAGACGTTTCCAATGATCCCCACATGCTTGATTGGCTACACACAGCCGGACATGGTCATCTGTTAGGTGATCAATCCCATTCGAGTTCAGCTCCACATCCAGCTACAACTAGTGGTGAGGCGACTAACTATACTCATCAGCCCGATTCTTCTCCCATACATAGTGGGGATCATCATCTTGATGCACCACAACACTCACCATCTCCGCATTTTCAAACATCAAACTCGGGTAATCCGCCAACGTCATTCCATCAGACCTCTTACGGAGGTTCACCATCTTCTCACTTTCAAACATCAAACTCGAGTAATCCGCCAGCGTCATTCCATCAGACCTCTTACGGAAGTTCACCGCCTCCTCCTACTATACTACCCCCATTACTGTCTCATCCGCAAGCAAACTATGGCGGCATAACGTCGAATAGTCCAACACGGTTTACTTCATCGCCAATGAATTATGATAGTACACACTTTCTTAATTCTGGCAATCACCAACAAATGGATGTAGATATTGAAGCACTGCGTCGTGATCCAAATACAAAAGTAGTGCAACGACCACCAGCTGAAGATGTTGTCTATAAACAGCGAGTATTCGTTCGTTATCTTCAACCACCGACACCACCTGTGAGTGGGACAATTATTGTTCGAGAAAAACAAGCGCCTCCTCCAGCACCCGATCCGCCTTGACACCTTACACAAAAGACGTATGTGTATGAAAATAAGCGCAACAAACAATAAAATAACACAGAAGCAGCTAAAACTAAGAAGAAACACTTTGAAAAGCAAAAATTTTCTTTAGATAACAAGTCCTTACAGAAAGAATGCTAATCGTGATTAAACGATTTCATAATCGAAAAAAACAGTCTTCCTTTTTTTAGATCCTTTGCGAATGTCATCTTATTGTCTTACGACGGGCACCACCTCCTCCTCCTACACCACCGCCAGTGGTTATTCGAGAGGTAAGTCAATGAATGGGCAGAAAAATGAAATTTCTAAAGTACACGTTGCAAAAGAGTTTCAAATGAACATTCTCTCTCGCATTAGCGTCCACCAGTACTTCCACCTCCTGAGGGGACTACTGTTATTGATAAAATAATTCCACCACTTCAAAAACCACCGCGACAACTCATCGTCGAACAATATCCACCGTTACCACCAAAACCTCAAGACGTTATCATCGAACGATGGCTCCCATTACCTCCGCGTCAACGAAAAATTCTCTACGAACGTTTACCTCCTTCGAATCCACCACGAGCGACACCGCCAATCATTATTCAACACGGCCAGCCAAATGTACGAGTCGTCAAAGAAGTTATAACTAATACACCGCCCACTCAATCAGCTCCACACCATGTAGGTCATACAGACATAAATCACATTCTCTCAGGGCTTGGTGCTCATCAATATCAAACAGCTGGATCATCTTCAGTATGTTAGACATTATATCGCGGACCATTATAACACTAAATGGTTTTAAATATTTTAGTTGTCACCATCATCCCTTTTTTCCTATAGTCCATATTCTACAATGCAACCTACAACTGGTTACAACACAGCACATCACCCACAGTCGGACGTTATCGTATTACAAGGTGGTGCTCAACATACGTTGCCATCATCAAGTTATGCTATACCAATGACGTGCGTTGTCAATAATCAAAATGCTCTTTCCAGCAGTCTTGGTGCCTATCGTGGGGGAACCTCAACATTTCCAATGGCCACAAGTTTACCGGGGCAAAGTTCTGTTTATCATGTGCCAGGTAAGTACCCTTCGTGGTGGATTCATAACTGAAAAATGTTCACCAATCTACTTATATTTTTAGATAATGTTCCAATAGAAAGTGTTTTAAGACAACTTGGAATAGATCCGACGACATTACAACGTTCATCACATTATCCTTCCCATTTAGGTATATCTTCATCAGTCACATATTGATGATTACACTATGCAGATTTTCACAGCACCAGCTCGTTTTTTAGTTTGATCACATGAGTTCAATTTGTTGTTGGATTTGCTGCTCTGGTTTTTTTCGTTGTTGTAGACACTCTAGTAAATAAATAAAACTTATTCTCGCTAAAACTAATTTGCTACCCAGTTTTAGTTATAGAATTAACATTGGGTTTTTCTAAAAAAGTTGTAGTTATTAACCGAGTGTGCGCTTGAAACTGTCAAATTTTGGATATAATAAGAGCAAATATTACTAACATTCAAACTTTCTGTACACAATTACAGATACTAAGCCTTAATTAATAGCATTTAACAAGATATTTTTATATTAGAATATGCAGATGGCTCTGGCTAAAGATTCTAAAATTTTTACCGAAACTGATACAACGTAATGTTTTGACAAACAAGTTATATCGATAAATCGGACCAAAAATGTGACAGAACCAAAACTTTTGACCTTCTTACGGTAGCAGGCCTTATCACAGCAATAAATCACTTTAGAATCAATTTTTCGGTAGTCACTGTTGTCTTATGATGGAGACAAGTGCTTAGAACATCGAAAGAGATAGAGCAACCCAAAAGTGATCTTCTAACTATTATTCATTTCAAAAAGGAATGTTTTTGGATGTTTTTCTCATAACTTTTGATAGAAATGAGCTAGAAATCGTCAGTTTCCAGCAATAGAAAGAGAAATGTCGATCAACTCATGGGAAAATGAAAATAGAATTACCATCTGCGGGTGATACACCGCGTTGGATCATTTTTCAGAAGACTTTCTGCCACTAAAGACGTTTTTATTTTGGATGCCGAGAAGTGGGTTCGAATCAGAGAACATTGCTCTACAGAACTACGAAAGTCCCAGACCGCCATCTACCATGGCTCAGGCGCTATAGGGTTTCTTCGAATATCTACCTTATCGGCTGCAGTCTGAGTCTGCGGAATCGCAGAAACACGTGGAGACATAGGATATTGACCACGTTGATTCACGCGACAATGTGTGTTTTCAGAAGAAAATCCAGGAACCTAGTGAAAATCTATAGTAGGTCAAACAACCCATTTTTGGACCTTTACACTGAAAATTAAAAAATTCAGATAGCACTTGTTTTTTAAAAGGTTTTATAGAAATATTTGGAAGGAAAGGAATGTTTCAAAATCTCAACTACAGAACCAAATTCAGCGAGAGTTATGAACTTTTTAATTTTTCATGTAAAGGTCCAAAAATGGGTTGTTTGACCTACTATAGATTTTCACTAGGTTCCTGGATTTTCTTCTGAAAACACACATTGCCGCGTGAATCAACGTGGTCAATATCCTATGTCTCCACGTGTTTCTGCGATTCCGCAGACTCAGACTGCAGCCGATAAGGTAGATATTCGAAGAAACCCTATAGCGCCTGAGCCATGGTAGATGGCGGTCTGGGACTTTCGTAGTTCTGTAGAGCAATGTTCTCTGATTCGAACCCACTTCTCGGCATCCAAAATAAAAACGTCTTTAGTGGCAGAAAGTCTTCTGAAAAATGATCCAACGCGGTGTATCACCCGCAGATGGTAATTCTATTTTCATTTTCCCATGAGTTGATCGACATTTCTCTTTCTATTGCTGGAAACTGACGATTTCTAGCTCATTTCTATCAAAAGTCATGAGAAAAACATCCAAGAACATTTCATTTTGAGATGGGTATGAGTACACGTACCGTATCCTATTCATAAACGCAACCTGGTTTATTACAGGTTTTCGAAATTGCGCTTTAGAAATACATCAATTTCACACAAGTATGAGTAATTTGAGTTCGAAAAAGATAAGAGTTCTCAACGTAAGCTCGTTAGTTATCAAATGGCTTCATATCAGTTATACATTTCCTTATCTACTGTATGTTTTCTGCGATAATAAATCAAATTGATGATATCTTTTTTCCTCCGGTTAAAGTTCAAAGTAATCCAACCAGCACCCGTAACAAACTTTTAGATTGGTTCTGTCTACACGTTTCAACTTCCGATTCTCGGTATAACAAATAATAAACAAAACTACAAAATATACGTAAATGAATAAAACATTGACTAAAGTATGATTTCTCTTTATAATTTATTCAATGTCATACTTATAAAACTTTTTTTTCTGATGGCTATTTTAGAATTGGCAAATTGAAGAGAAGCTAGAAAAAAACCGCATGTCTCTTCATCTTGATGCTCTGATATTTCAATTCTCATTTCATTTTTTTGCAATGTTATACTTGAGGATGATAATGATTCATTCATTTATTTCTATGATTTACTTTAGATCAACATACGGCCGTTCAACATGTTTGGAATGCAGCCCTACACGCACAACCACAAAGTAATAATAAAGTTTCGAAAAGTTGCAATAGCCATTGATTTTCGTCAAATTTTAGATACTTCTGCAGCTCATCACGTTTGGGATAATATTGAACATTACCTACATCCACAACATGGTTAGCGCTATTGATCAACGAATCTCTGCTTTCCAAAACTGATTATATTTCTGATTTTAGGTGGTAGTTCACCAGTAAGAAGTGTCTGGGATCATATTACCCATCCAGATCATTATCGCCAACAACAACAATCACATCATCCTCCTCCCCCATCAAATTATCCACCGGCACCGCATCCTCCTCCTCCATCAAATTATCCACCGGCACCGCATCCTCCTCCATCAAGCTATCCTCCTTCGTCAAACTATCATCCTCCTCCATCAAGCTATCCTCCTCCTTCGTCAAGCTATCCTCCTCCTTCGTCAAACTATCATCCTCCTCCATCAAGCTATCCTCCTCCTCCGTCAAGCTATCCTCCTCCTTCGTCAAGCTATCCTCCTCCTTCGTCAAACTATCCTCCTCCTCGTCCATCAAATTATCCTCCTCCTCCATCAAATCGTCCTCCACCATCACCACAAAATTATCCACCACCATATAATCAAGGTACATCATCACCACCTCAACAATCTGGTGGTGGTGGTATTGGTTCATTATGGAGCAAATTAGCTGGACATTAAATCTATTCTAACTCTCTTCATGCGTCTGAATCTCTTTTTTCCGTTTTAAGTACACTTTTTATGTTCTGTTTGTCAGAAACAAAAATACTTTTTTCGTATAACGAACCATAGCACTAGTTTCCTCAATTGAATGATCAACATCAAATACAAGTCGTTATCGCACTAAACAGCCGGTTTGCTCCATTCTACTATATTATTTTCTAGACTTTATATATATTACTGAAAACAACAAATATTATGGATAATATTTTATTTTACACACAATGCGTCCTTTCGCTAGTATACGATATGTGACTTTGACAAGTACCACCTTGTCTTATCGACGTCGTTGTATTATTATTAACATTATTACTCATTTTCGAAGTAGTTAACGATGGTTGATTCATAAATAAAGTTGAACTCGAAGGTGATTTAATTGATTCATAATAAATTTCATGTGAACGATTTGTCGGTGTAACACCTGGATATGGAGGTGGCTCATAAAAGTCATCTGATGTGGTCAAAGAATATCGATAAGATGGTAACACATCGTTACAATTTGCTCTTAGATTACTGTTTGTAACAGATGAAGAATAACGAGGTAATTGTGGTGATGGGTTTTGGAGTAAAATAGATGCAGGTAAAGCGGTTGATTCCGTTGAACTTGATAAACAACATTGTTTTGTATTTATAAACGAGGAATCACAAGACGATAAATTTAATGACGGTTTCTTACGTATTAAATAAATAAATATTGACACAATCGACACAATGAGGAGAATGCCAGCAGCAAGAAGAGCTAAAAGAATTGAAATTGTCAGATTAGTTGTTAGAATTAGGGTTAAAAATGGAGCACCGCTCGGTAAGAGATTACTGGGTCTTCTTATCATTTTTTTCTTTCGATGGGGAAGGCAGAAAGGTAAAAACGGATCCCACAGACCATCAGATGTCATATTTCCTCTATCTAGAATAGTAAGCTAGGAATTTTACACAAGAGAGACTCATTGCCAACTTCATCATTTGATCTCATCGAACATTACAGAAGACTTAAAGTAATAGTACTGTGTTCTTCATCCGAACGTCAAATGAGAAGTGATGCCGAATAAAATTGGCCTTAAACATTGTTCATTTAAGTTTTTTAAGATATTAAAAATAAGAAAAAAACAACAACAAATTCCATAGTTTCTACCAATAAACATAAACTGCATTTTCTTCTGCTATTATCGGAGAATTTCACGAAAAAACGCCATACCAGTCACACTCTAAGATAAGAAAGATGATCGCATAGAACGATTCATACCAGAATATCTCAGTGCATCAAAATGACTCGACGATGACGAATCGGCTATTGCCAATTGTACATCGATTTGAGGTACAGTAATGATGGTTTCTAAAAGTGAAATTGAAACAAATAAAGAAATATGATGACCATTGATAATAGAAGAAACATACTTCGCTTATGATACTGTTCGCATGCTCGTTTATTTCTGTACGTTAAACATGTTACATATTTAAAGTCACTTTCACATCCGAGTCGACAACTGACATTATTCCCTTGAATACAAGTATAAAAGTCCCCTTGGCATTGGCCTAAAAAACGATTCGACGATATTTGTTGTGTCACAACTGTGAGAAAACGATAGTATACTTTAACTACAGGGTCAAACACAACACAAATAAAGCTAAAACTGAATCAATTTTTTTCTTATATCGAAAACCGTTACTTATAAAAATTTTCGAACTATCACTTTTTATCTTACATTGAATTTCATCCGAGCCATCACTGCATTGGGTTATACCATCACAGACATAATCCCATGAAATATTAAAGCCATTTCGACATGAAAACAAACTCATAGTATCAATGCTAAAATAGTAAAAAATTTGATGATGATAAAAGATGTTCAACATATTGTTCGTTATGTACTCCATAGGTATTGTGCTCGAACCTTGAAGCTGACAGTTCGTTTAATAATTATGGACAAGATACCTATGTTTCAGTGTCCTGAATCACTCGTCCGATCACTGCATTATGACGCACAATACAGTTGGACTCAAGCAATTGAGAAAGAGAACTCTGTGTCAATGTAGCCTTCAGTTCAGAGCTGTAGTTGATGATTAGTAACGACAGGGATGATCATGTCAGAAGCTTATCGGCTGATGGGACGATATTCAGCTATTGAAGTTGATCTCTATTAAAAATCTTAGGCATTTCTTAAAATTATCTTACTAATATCATGTAAGATCTTATATTTTAAGATCTTAATTAAGACGATGCTTCTACTTTCATTCACTCTTTTGTTTCGCTCTTACGTATTTAACAAGTAACATCGAAACTTAACTGAATTTTACAGTATCATTTTTCTTCATGATTTTGCTGTTCAACAACTTTTAAGAGAGTATACACTGCAAGCCAATGTATATGACTAGACGCCTAAAAATAGGCAATTTCTTTTCGTTGTTCAGGTCTATTCGACTGCAATTTTTAAGAATGCAGGACAGCAAACAAGAACTCAGTTCTGTAAAAGAAATTTATCACTACTTGAACAAGATATTTAGAAATTCTTAGTACATCAACGAATGTATCTTATTAAAAAAGATAATAAACATTTTATTAAGATCTTGGAAAAAAATCTTTTATCAGATCTTAGAATTTTTGGATCCCACCATCTCTGTAAGATTTGTCTAAGGTCTTAAAGTAATGTAAGCAAAATCTTACTGGGATCTTAATAAGATTTGAGTAAGTTCACCTTGCTAGGGGTATTTGTTAGCACTCTATACTATTAACGGTAGCCACAAAACAAGATATTCGCTCTTTCTCATCATGTCACTTTATGTGAATCACATAAAATCTTTCCATTTTTCTCGTTTTTTTTTTCTGATTCAAACTCCAACAAGAATTTCACATCGAATTAACTATTTCTCTAAATCATCATAATCAAATTGTACGGAAACTCTTTTTTAATAAAACCGAACTCTTTGTGAATGACAAAACTTATTTGAACACTTCTATACTAACTACTCTTCATTACTCAACCCTTTGGCGATCTGATCTATAGAGATATGCCAGCAGCTAGTTAGTTTAACATTCGACAAGAGAGAACGAAAAAGAGAGAAATGAGAGATACAAATTTTTATTTATAGAATAAGATGAAGAGCCTGTCATCCATATACTTGAAAAAAAAAATATTAAGCTCACGCACATACCAGTGATCGATCAACAACATGTCAAAAAGATATATCGATTGGCGACGTTAAAAAAACAAGTGAATTTCTTTTTCTGTATGAAGGTATAAAAGAAAACACCAGTTAGTAGTAAAAACGCTATTCTAACGTGTAAAAATTCAAATCATCTTACGTTATTTGTGATTTTATGATAACGATATTTATCGTTAAAACTCTCTTACACACATCCACCTATGATCACACTAAGTAACTTTTAAGCTTTCAAAAATAAATGATTTTAAAATAATCGACCTATAATTTATACAGAAGAAACATCATTTGTTGATCTTTGCTGAAGTTTGACGATACTAGCATACACTTGATTAAGAGATCTTCTATGCAGTGGGATTTTAGTTTTAAACATTGGTATTAGTTATTATGTAATATAAAAAGTGAATTTCTGGTTATATATCAAAGAATTTGATGATATCAAGGTAAAATGGGATGCTATTGTTTCTCCTCATACAATCTATCTTATCGAAGTCTACATATGAGCATTCAGTAAAAATACTGTATATAATAAACTTACTTTTGATCCTCGAATATTTCTATCCGAAAAGATGAAAAATTGATTAGAATTTTCAGAGACTAGACATAAACATTATTCGCATCTTATTGTGTTTACCAAAAATACTATACATATGCATACGTTATAGTTTGAACTGAAGAAATCGAATATCTGAATTACACTGACATATTCTTACCTTATATTTTGCTGCATTTTTGTTTTAACAATAAAACCGTTCTTGTCGTATAATTAGTCGATTACCTTTTGCGCATTAGTTAAAATTTGAAAGAGAAACGAAATATTTTTATTAAAAAAAAAAAGAAGAAATCTATTAGAGTCAATTGCTTAAAATTAATTGTTTTGTTTCATTGTATTCTGATGTACAATGTTCAATGAAAAAGAAAGCATTCTCACTCTTCATCTTTGTACGATATTCGTTCGTACACTAAAGAGAAGAAAAAGAAAGTGTGTTGAAAATATTCGTATATACATATGAATAAGAATAAAGAAAAAATAACGTTACCATAAGATACGAACGTTAACTGTTTATATCTCGGACCAACTTAAAAGAGAAAAAGAAGATATGTTCATACTTTTGTACGAACTATTTTTTGCCCGCATCATTATATATGTATATGTATTCTCACTTTCTTTTTGAACTAAAGGCGATATACACTCACATTTGATGTGTGTTTACGATTTGATTTCATAATAATGAAACAAATACTCCAAAAACGAGTATCATATATAGACAGAAAAAAACTCTTGTACCTCATATTCAGTTTGTTTGTATGCTTCTCATCAGTAACTATAATTGAACAAGAAGAATTTTATTGCTTTCAAAAAACAATTCATCCAAGTTTGTTTTTTCTTACTATAGAAAAGAAGAGAAAAAGTCATAGAAAGTAGAAAAGAGTATTGAAGTTTTTTTTTATATCTGATTGAAATGTAAAAAGATTATTCAAGAAAAAAAAAAATTTTTTTCATTTGAAGTCGATATAGATTTTGGTTCAAAATTTTGCAATTTGAGAGGATATTATTATTATTATTTTTTGACTTGTTAGTAATAAATGGTATTCTAAAATGTAAAGTAGTGTGTTCATTTCCTTCTTTTCTCTCTACTTTTGAAACAATCGAATACACTTGATTCCTATCATTCCTCTATTATCAAAATTGTCCTACATACCCATTATATAAATATGAAGTAAATTATTGTCAAGAAATCAGTCTCTTTCCCTAGAGATTTATGTCATTCAAATATTGTTAATAAACAAACATTTATCCAATATACAAAGAAGAATACAGTTTTTAATTAGTTGATAGAAATGTGTTCAGTTTCTCATTGATTTTTTTTCTTTTCACTCCTGTTTAGAGACTTGTATCGAGAAATGGTAGTAAAATCAATCAAATAAACGTTTTATATACAAAAGACTATCACATTATATAGTAGCAGTCATATCCTATTACTTTTGATGATTTAAAAAAATCCAAACAGTTCTTTTTCTCTTTCTCTCGTTCAATTTATTTTTTATTTGTTAGTGATGATCATATTTCTAATCTTTTAAATGGGAAAAAGAAAACGAGAATTTGTAACAAATATGTTCGGCTTAAAATAACACGTTTATGTTTAATGAGACCAAGAGCTAAGATGACTATACATACTTTTATCACCTGTATCGTAAGCAAATGATAGTAATTAAACGGAGATTTGATATTTTTTAAGTAATTTTTGGAATGAATTGTTGTTCTAAATCATTTCCTTCTCACATCCGATTTTATACGAGAATTCTTCTCGAATAAGCAAACATTAGTATAAAAGAATTCTATAGTGTATATGCATATATCTAAATATATGAACATAAGAATATCGTTGTCTAACGGATAAAAAAAAGCGGATAAAAAAAAAAAGAATCGGGATCCATGAAGTTGTTAGCTAATGAAGAAAAAAAAAAAAAAGAAGCCGAAGAAAATTTTTGTATAATAATGACAGAGACACACGTCGGTATTACGAATTAAACATGTCATCATCAACAGAAGGAAACGAATAGAAAAAAATCCAGAGAATAAAAGAGCTAAATAGTGTTTATGTAGAGAACATGTATAAAACATTTTTTTATGTTTCTGACATTTAGTTTTAGAACTGCTGATGTGGAAAGAACAATAAAGAAGTCTCTCTTCTTCTTCTTTTTTTCTCTCTCGCAGAATGTTTTATGATAATAAATCTTTTTATCTATTCATTTTCTCTATGAAGATGGCTAGATGTATTACATTCATGAACACATTGATTGCTGTTAAACAACATTTTAACTGTCGAGAAGAGAAAAACCCATCAAGATGTTTAATTTATTCGCCATGCATATATATATATCAATAGCAAGAAGAAGAAAAAAAACTGTCACACAAAATCGAAACTAATCGTTATAAAAGTGCTGCTAAATACAGATATAATAGTTTATGTTCTGTGTGCAAATGCGTTTACTCTAATGGAAAATATTTATGATCAAGGATCAATTTAACAAGAACAGATAAAAAAATACCTGGGAAAGCAGATGGCTTATAAGTATATAGTTCTAGCATTTATTTCATGAAAAATTAAACGAATCAAGCACACACACACACACTGCAGAAAAAAATTGACTTTTTTTTTAAATATAACATTGTTCGTTGTCAATTTAATATAATTGAAAAGCAAGTATAAACTTCAAATAAGTTTTTACCATCTTCTTTATCAACTAATTATGTTCCTTTCCTATTTCTTCAACTTCAGCACTATAAAACACTTATTACTTGGTGTTTTAATCCGGAAATCTTATTCATTCTAATAATCATTGTCACATATCATTAAAACTGTTGTTTTTTTAAATTCAGTTATATTCTTTCATTTTTTTTAGAAGAAAAGAAAATTAATAAAACATATGAGAATAAAATATTATTAATGAAATTGTCATTTGCGTGTGTAATGTTCGACTGTTGCTCTTTTTTTTATTGAATTAGATGAAGTATATATCTTTAGACACTTCTTACTCAATAGATAAAGTGTCTTCTTTTCAAAGTGAGAATTTGAAATGGGAATTAAATGAAAAAGAAAAATGTTTTTATTCAGTTCTTTGCTTGAAAAAACTCTCTATATTCCTATTTTAGATACATACTAAACTCAAATGTCAGTAATTTATATCTCATCTTGAATTTAATCCGGCGGTATTTTTCGCTGCATTGTACACACAAAAGTATCTATCTGTCCAACTGTGTCTTGTAATAGTTGTCAATCGTAAGAATTGCTGTGAAAGAAAAAATTATTTTTATTTGATTATAATAATGTGATCGAGATTATTAATACACTCATTTATCCATAAAAATTTATACAAAAAAAAGAGAGAAATGTGTGTTCTTCTTTGCAATCAACGGTATAAAATGATGAGCAATGTCTATCAATAACAAAGGAAAATATATCACATTGTATATATATACATCAAAAGCAACTGTTCCCTTCCCTGTTTCTTATTCATCATATTTGAGGCCGAGAGATAACTCAGATTATATGACCTTTTTCTATATAGAATATACTTCTCATTTGGTGAAACATGAACAAGATACAATTGATCATGATAACGAAAACTGTTCAAAAGTTCAATTAATTATACTACATTGTAAAAAAAGGTATCCTCGTAGTTATCGTATTCTTTTGTGATGAAGCAAGCATATTGCACGACATTGAATATGCCCTGTACATATCCAATTTCTCTTAGCTCATTTCTGAGGAAATATAAGCAAAAAACATATAATGTTTATTCTTTCTTTGGATTAACTCTAAGAAAATATTTACAATGACAACCCACTAAGTACTATATGAGGCACTGCACGATAGAAACGGACTTTTTCAGCATAGCGTGCTTAATGAACTGTCACAGATTTTTTTCAAATTATCAGAGCAGGTAGAGAAATGTGTCCTGAACATTTTTGTCTCTTGACGTTTTTTCCAAAATGCTTTCCCTTGCCGCTAGAGCGCTTGCAAAAAACGTCGTAAAATACGGAAAAAAAGCGATTTTCCAGTCGAAAATTTTGCTTATGCTATAACTCCGTCAAATCAAATACTAGTGAGCTTAAATTTTTACCAGGGCTGTCTTGCTATGAGTACTACCTAAGATAAAAATTTGAACTTGTTTGAGTTAAGCGTTCTCCAGAAATAGTTTATTCTTTAGACATAGACAAAACGTCATCAACCATTTTGCAAAGAGGTTTGGCAACCGAAGATGGTCCGTTTGAAGGGTTCTCTACGGTTTCGTGAAGTAGGCCCAGAGTACAACCATGAACCGTCGTCGAACTTTCGGGGAAATGATGGAAAACATTCGGAAGCCTCTTGTCAAAAACGTCCACATCACCTCGGAAAAACCTGAAAATTTTTCTTTTAGAATCCGTTGAATTATACACCATTCGACGCAGCCAAATCATTTTCGACCAACTTTTAAAATTATATAATTCTAAAAGTTGGTTAAAAAAAAATTGCATCCACAGAGTGAAAAAAAGGGTATATTTCAAAACAAAGTTCATATTCGAAATGCGCATAAAATTCTCTTTCTAGTCCATGTCTTTTTGTTTTCCGAAAAGTTTGCAAAGGCGAAATATCGTCTATCCAAAAAAAAGAATGATGTAGGGATATTAATCCAACATCCCTCAAACTATAAGAAAAGGCTTAAGTCTGATAGCCAAATACGTAAGGGGGGAAAAGCGCACTCCGCGGAGTAAACCGCACTCCATCGCACTCCGGCGCTCCGTACAATGCTCCGGAGTGGCGAAGTGCGTCGTTTTCTTTTAAAATAAAATAGTGATATTTCTCTCACTATTCTTCCCCCAAAACGGAACAATCCGATTCCCGAAACAGAACAGTTATGTTCCCAGAACAGAACAATCCGGTACCTTGGGGAGATTTTCCAGATAAAGGGACAATTGTGTTCTGTTTCGTGAATTCTTTTCTCACAGACAGAACGTCTTTGTTCTGCTTGTAGGAACAGAGATTTCTGGGACAGTTCAATTCAATAAAATTTCTTAAGCCCGCGGTACTCCGAGCCACTCCGGCACTCCACCGAGTGGCGGAGTGCGCTTTTTGCCCCATGCAAATACGGCTGCCTCACCAAATTTTTAATATTTTATCTCAACTTTTTCAAGATATCTCTGGAAATCCCATTTCTGGATATGATTCCTAACTGCTCTTTTCACATCGAGGTCTCAAGGATAGTTCGTCTCAAGCTTTTTCAAGCCCAAACCCAAAGAAGTAGAAGCCTTGGTACTTCGGGAAAAACCTAAATTCCGGCCAAATCACTGATTTTCAACATCTCGCTTACATCTCATGTTGAAGAGAACACTTTTCTGTATTTGCTGATGGAAAAATACCAATGGTTTGCTGTTTTAAACTTTCGACTTATGCTTATGAAGTTTATGAAGTTTTCCAACGATCCATTCAAAAACTCGTTTTTTAAAAGCTATCCGAAAAACGTTTCGCTTGCAAAACGGTGCTCCTCTTTCGATTGGTGAAAGCGACGTCCCTTTAGCTCTTTCTATTTTCGGGTTATTTAAAAAACATCCATATATCATTTTTTTTTGTGAATAGACAATAGTGGTTACCATTTTTACGAGAGAGCCAGTACGAACAAAGTCTGGGAGGAAAAGCAGAACATGAAATTCAACTACGTTTTTAATGTTATTCATATAGATGTCTGAGAGTGAAGTAAAAGGATGAATAAAAGTAGGATCAGCAAATCTTATGCAGATCTTAAACAAGATAATTTTAAAAAGTGGCTAAGATTCTTACTAGGGTAGTATAACATGAACATGCTATCTCTTTTTATTCAGCCTTACCATTCATAATATATAAAGATTAAGAGTCTGATAGAAGTTAGACATCCGAAACAAAACGTGATGCGTTAAGTTGCGTGTTGATCAAACATAAAATTAATTGGAATCTCGGTTTGAAGCAAAAAAATACAGTAAAGCATCTTAGTCACTTCTTAAAATTATCTTGTTCCTAGTTGTCCTAGTCCTGTCCTTAGTCAGTATCTGCCAGCTGCGAGATGCTTCCGACAGCAGGGACGGCCTTTGGACTGATGGAGTGAATTTCAGTGTCAATCAACCGGTCTAAATAAGCGCCTCCATATTGTAGATAGTGATTAGTTTTTCGAAGGTCTGTGCAGCAAAAAATATCTACGTGAAGTAATACAAATAGCCGCAAGATTTATGAGTCGAGTAGGGTAAAATCAGTATATTTTCGAATGAAACTAAATGTTTCGAGGTTCACGAGATATTATTTTGAATTTCGGATAAAAAATCTTTTGCTCTTCAAAGATTATCCGATTTTGACGTTTATATCCATATAGTCTAACATGAGTCCCCCTCCCGTGTCAGAAACCTACCTCAGCTCAGCTAGGACTGATCTGAATCAAACTTTCAAGAAATGTTGATCATGTCAGAGTGTGGAGACAAAATTTTTGTAGCGCCACTTGCAACTGTTCGTGGGAGAGCGTCACAACAAGGACCAAAAACAGGCGTCTATCCCAAGTAAGCATTCTTACTCCAGGTAAAGATAGAGGGCTCGATCTGTTTTTGTTTTGCAGTAAACACCTACGGCTAGGAGTGAACAGAGGCCGACTTTTCAATTTCTCATTTACTGATTTCTGTTGCTTAATAGTACCTTAAAGTCCAGACAAACCCTGAAAGTTTTTTTTTACAAATAGCCATTTCTATACCAAAATGGAAGCATAATCTAAAAATCGGACTCTATACAGTCCTAGCTATACATATTATCTACAACTACTTTTCATCGCTTCCGAAATATTCACAGTAAAGATGAACCTACCAAGCTTGAATCTCTGTAAAAAGGATGTTTTCAGGAGTCGGATTAAAGTCGATCGTATATATTTTACTCTCTTTATGGCGACCGAAGAAAACATTTGTTGCCAACTTGCAATAGTTCTGTCGTCGATCAGAAAATAACCCGATTGATGTTATTAACCTATTCATTTGTTACTTTTCCCTTATATTAACTACAGTAACTTCCGACACTGAGATAATGGATTTATCCGCTTCAATGCCGGAGGTTACATGTTCTTCTTTGTAACCTTGATAAATAAATAAAGCTTAAACCAACCCGATTCAATCTCTGCCAACTGTGCGTCTAATAATAAGTATATCATAGTAATTCGTTTTAGAAAACAAGAAAAAAATGCTCTTTTCTCCATATCAACCGTGTGTGGTATAATTGCACAATCTCAACTTATTTTCAACATAAATGAAAGAAAAAGAACGGGGAAGAAACGGAGGTCCGAAGTGTTCGGGTTATCAATCATGATTTCAAAAAATACCTAACTCTTTCCGGACACACAATACGACCTCCTCTGCTTTTTGTCGTTTTATTCTGAAAATAAAGTACTACGAAACGTATTGAACTATTAAATGAACAACAGTTCTTTCCCAGTCTTCTTTACTTTTCCTCGTTTCGGAAATATTCGCAATAAAGATGAACCTACGATAACTCGGTTTGTTTGTTGTAAGAAGTAGTTAACACAAACTAATAATTAATTGTTGGTTTTAATAATTAATAATTCATTTTAGAAAACAAGAAAAAAATCATCTTTTCTCCATATCAACCATATGTGTGCGTGATATTATTACACCATCTCAACTTCATTTCAACATAAATGAAAGAAAAAGAATTGAGAAGAAATAGAGGTCCGAAGTGTTCGGCTTATCTAATATTCCATGAACAAGAAAATACCTAACTCTTTCCGGACACACAATACGACCTCACCTGCTTTTTGTCGTTCTATTCTGAAAATAAAGTACTATGAAACGTATTGAACTATTAAATGAACAACAGTTCTTTCCCAGTCTTCTTTACTTTTCCTCGTTTCGGAAATATTCGCAATAAAGATAAACCTACCAAGCTCGAATCTCTGTAAAAGGGATGTTTTCGGGAGTCGGATTAAAGTCGACCTTATATATTTCACTCTCTTGGCGATCGAAGAAAGCATTTTTGGAAACTTGTAACTGAATTACAAGAGTTTAACTTTGGCAAATTTTGAAGATGGCGGAATCCACCTTTTTTCAGGTCTTTTCGTAAAATTCCAGTATCTCAGCCACGATACAACTTTTTGGTTTTCACTAAAATTCTTCAAATCGATATTTTGGACGAAAATCGGCATTTGTGACCTGTGGGGGTGTGGTTGGGCTTAAATAGTCCGGTGTGGTCTGAAACGGTTACATTATATAAATTACATCCGTTTTAAAACGTAAGAAGTGAAAACAAAAATACTAGGTTTGTCGAGTGTTTCTGCTTTAATCAAAAGCAAACACTCTAAACGTGGCAAGCGGAAAGAATAACTAAATAGAAAACAACGACAAAGAAGAAAGACAAGAAAATCGCTATTTGTCGCAATTCTATTTGCGTAAAGATTTTTAACAGTACATTTATGCGATAAAAATTGGAGAGGCGTTCCATTTTTTGATATACGTCGTATCTTTTGCAATTTTCACATTTGTTTCTGTCCAATAGGTTTATAGAGATGATGCGTCAGAGAGCACGTGGATATTTGTTTTGACTTCAACCGATTTTTGTTCCTTCACACACATTTACGATAGTCGACATCACAACATAATACAATAGAACAAGGGTTTATTAGTATAAAAAATAATAAGAAAAAAGTACGAAACATCAAGTATTTTGGATATTCAAATCGAAGTATTATGTCTACGTCCGTCTAGTAGGTCTTTAGAGAAAGTATTGGAGAATGTAAGAATTTTTAAACTGCTAATTGTTTTTTATTTTATTCTGATCCTGTTCTGTCTTTCGAACCACAATATGATTCAAAATGAATTTTATGAAATGAGTCAGGCGTAGTTTTCACTGTCATATCGTGAGAGTCATGGATACTTTGAAAAGGAAAAAACTATCCATCACATGTCGTTAGAGCAACTATCTTTCGTTGCGTTATGAACTATCGAAGGTATCCGTCAAAAAATAATGAACAACAACTTTTTCGGCTAGATACTGCCAACTGTTCTTTGAGAACTACACTAGAATGTTATGTTGTACAACAGTGGTGTGAAGTTTTTCCTTCGCACTATTGCGACTTAACGTCGTACAGCATTGTATTGTGTTTAGTTTTAAGTTTAAGAAGAGGTCTTTATTTATGTTATTGGCAAACAGGCCATATGCAGAGAACAGAATTTCTATATTTCGTAGATCTTTTCAGCACAAATTCGCAACGAACTTGGTCATAGTTCGTTGCTTGAGTGTAGTAAAAGCAAGACATATCAGCAGATGAATGAGCTGCTTTCTAAGACATTATTTCATTTGCTGAATGTGCCGAGAAGAATCACAAGAAAATAACGGATGACTGTTTATGGCACTTGAGAGTAATAGTTATGAAACACTGAAATTCAGATAGCAATGGAGTGTTCCACTTCTAAAGTAGTACATGAATTTTAAAGTACTTCCGGTTTCATGTTTAGGTCAATAAAATTATCTGATAACAGTAATGTTGTTCATTGTTCGTTCGAAAATCTCCAACCTGAAAATTTCAGATCAATTCAACATAGTCTCTCGAATTTGTACCATATCAGCAAATTTACTTCAATATCAACCGATAAATTTGAATTTATTTGTTCAAAAACCGTAGCTAATCAGATATGTGAAGAACTAGATCAACATGTGGGAAATTGTTCCAATATCTGGTTTTGTGCAGACGCGAGTCAGTCTAGAAATAATGATGGAAAACGAAATGAGATGAGATTAAGTGGCTTTCGATGCACGTTTGGCTCTTTATTATCTACGGAAAAATTTACCATACATGACGTTATTGACTATGACGTTATGGAAGAATGGTTACTGGAAATTAAGGGCAACAACATGACACTCAACTATTTGCAAGGGAAAGGAGACAAATTAATATTTACATTGCCGATAGATCAACTGCATACGAGATTATTGGTTATCAGCAGTGAAATGTATGACGATGTGATATTTAGTTGTCAGACAGTAATGGATGTTAAACAAATATGTGATAAAATGAAAAAAAAGTAAGATTTCAAGTTCGGTAGATCTTAAGGGTACCTTCTCCTTCCTTTCTGACCAAAATTTTTTGTTTAGTAGTACAGTCTGATATAGAGAAAAGTCCAGACTATAAAATATGATCCAACGTTTTTGAAAAAGTTATGTTTTTTGAATGTTTTTATTCAAGAATCTGAAAAAAACAGATACTTTAGACTCTATCTCAGGTTTGAAGCGTTTTCAACTTCAGTTTCTGGCATAAGTAAGTTTTTAATACCCAAAACTGACTTTTTACGAAGGGTTTCGAATACCACGCGAAACATTTCGAATACCATGAGAAGCAGAATCTGAGATACAGTCTGAAATATCTGTGGTAAATGTCTGGGCTCGATTCGCTCTTTTCTTCTACCCTTTCCAATTGGGTGAAAAAAGACGATGGGACACTAGGTATGCATCAGTTCTAGAACTGGTGTTTAGGCATCTGGGAAAACGTTTATTACTCGGTAATTAAGAGCCGCTCAGAGTTGCCGAACATCTCATTTTGTAGAGGAATGTTTACTCTACAAAACTCACTGATTCAAAAAAATATAAGACTAACTGTGTGAAAAGTGCGTTCCGTCTAAAACAGTGGAACTGTTTCCCCAATAGTTCCTGTGTTTTTCAATACTTATATTTTCAATATGGTTAATTTCAAAAACTTTTAGACCCGTGAGTTTTCTAGAGCAAAGATTCTACAAAATGAGATGTTCCGCAACTCTGAGCGACTCTTAATTATCCCCAAACACCAGTTCTAAAACTGGTGCATACCTACGGGACACCTTAAACTAACTAGTCTCTTCCGTTAGACTTGTATTGCGATCAAAACATCTAGTATATTTTCGCATTTTGAGAAGAAATTTTTTATGAATTAACTTTAGTTTTTTTAAAAACAAACTAGAATATGCGGTGATGAAGATTGTGGTAAAATATTATCTCGATGCAATGACTTTTACTTAACAATCAATGACAGACGTAACTTAAAAGAACTAGTCGATTATTTTGGATACCAACAGAAGTTTCAAATATTTTATACAACGATTAATATTCAATTGTGTCCACAAATAACATCAAAAAATGATTATTTTCTACCATATGAATTTTCTTATGACGCTTCATATTCCATATACATGTTAAATTCATTAGGCTATATGTTCGAAGATAGATATCGTATATCACTAGAATTACAGCATACAATGTTAACGATGGCACAAGAGTGCGATAAAACATTTTATCATTTATCGTTAGAAGCTTGTGAAAAATTAGAAAGCAATCATTCTTATAATTTGTTAGAAACATTTAATAAACATATTTTTTTAAAATTAAAAGAACAAATTAATAAATTAGAGAATAGAAAACAAGATGTCTATGATATTGGAATGGTTGTTGTCACACCGGTATGTTAAATGGACAATTCAAATACGTTCCAATTTATAATGAGAATAGAAAAGATTTGTTAGACATGACTAAAAATTTCATTACTCACTTTATTATTTGATATTTAATGTTTTCATCTATTTTTCTACCTCTTTAGATGCGTGTCATTTTTAAGAAAAAAGTATTGTCGATGGGTCATCGTGCATTGAGAGAAAAAGAACTTGGTGGCAAAACAAATTTTTTACTGGTATATTTTAAAGAAGAATATCGTCAATATCTTGATTGTGATGAAAGAACAAAATCTTATTATAATAAGATTTTTGAAAATGGTATTGAATTAAATGGAGGACGATTTTATTTTTTCGGATCATCAAATAGTCAGATTCAAGATATGTCTTATTGGTTTTTTCGTTGTGCTAATTTTGATGATATTATATTGGCTAGACGAATATTAGGCAATTTTGATAAAATTGAAAATTTGGCTCTGTATATAGCTAGAATTGGATTATATTTCACAAAAACAATAACAACGGGGGTAAGTTAACTATTTTTAAACATCATCTTGTATCCTTCTGCCATGATTTGCTTTCTCGTTCTCTCTCTAGATTGAACTTTTTTATTGTTCAAATGAGGAAGCGTTTAATATTGAAGTCAAATCTGGTAAACCGTGTGTTATGTTGATACCTGATATTAAAAATAACGAATATTGTTTTACAGATGGTATAAATTTGGATGCATACTTTTCTGAAAATCTTATCTAAGTTCGTTTTGGTCATTATTTAACTAGGATGCGGTTTAATGTCGAAAGGTCTAGCACATGAAATAGCTACAAGATTGAAATTATTGACGAATGATGAGATAAAGGAACAGGTGAGTAATGTTTTATTTTTATTTTTTTCTCTGTATAAAGTCTATATTTTTATAGATTTCATTTGGACCATCAGCCTATCAAATCCGTTTAGCTGGTTGCAAAGGACTTCTAATTGTCGATCCAAAATCAACTATAAATGAATATTATGCCAAAATTCGTGAATCAATGAGAAAATTTGACTCCAATAATTGGATAATAGACATTTGTGATAATGGTGTTAGCAAAGCAAGTATGCACTTACAATATAGCGCAATATTTACATCTCTACTCTTACAGTTAACTGCAGAGTGTCACTAAATAATCACTACTAATATAATTTGTATTATTTAGGACCAACTCGACTAAATAATCAGATTATAATGATATTGTCTGATCGTGGCGTAAAAAATGAAACATTTTTAAAGATTCAACGAGATTATTTTTCAAAAATTGATGCATCAACAAATAGTTACGTACGAAAGCAAACAATTCCGTATGTTTTGTAATAAACATTATCAGTATTTATTTATTTTTCAAAAATTTATTACGCTTGTTCAGAAATGTTCTGAAGAATCAGATTCCATTACCAGATAACGAATGTCGATATATGTTTGGCTGTTCATTAGAATCGGCACTACAATATGGACAATGCTACATACGCTATGAAGTATTAGATAGTGACACAACAAAAAAATACGAATGTGTTAGAGGTAAACTTGTTTAATGGCTCCTTTTTCTATGAGAAATCGATCATTCTTAGAATTTGTTTTATATCTTATTCCTAGGGCGTGTTATAGTCACAAAAAATCCTTGTCCATACGCTGGTGATATACTTGAATTATGGGCTGTTGACTTAGAAGAATTAGAGTGTTTACGTGATGTTATTGTTTTTCCAGCTAAAGGTGAACGACCTCATCCGGATGAAATTGGTGGTAGTGATCTTGATGGTGATGGATACTTTGTAAGTCGTTCATGCCTTATCCCTTCTCTGTAGAGAAATATCAGTTCTCTATGTTTTAGGTTTATTGGGGAAAAGATTTAATTCTTACGAACAGAATCAAACCATTAGATTATCCACCGCCAGACAAAAAGAACCATCCCCATCCAATTATGCCGTTGGATATCGTCAAGCATATCGTATCCAGCCTTGGATCATCAGCAAGAGGCGGTAATTTCTTTTATGGAACGAAAACGAAGAATATCTGCTGGCAGCATTAAGAGTAGAAAAAAATGTTAACATTTAAACATATTCTAGAACAACAGCCGCAGCCGACGTCAGTAGTTATCCTTTAGTTTGATACCATTTTATTTGTCGCTAAAAATTATTCTTTTGAGTATTGGACATGATGTGAAATGCTGAGTATCGCACTATGGCATATTTCTTTTTTCATTCACGTTATCCTAGAGAGCTTTGTTTTTGTTTTTTTAAACTTTAACTCTCAGCTCTCCAGTCCAATTGCCACTGAAATCGGGTTACACCATTGCATCTGTACGTAAAGGTACCGAGACACTGAGCATTAGATAGCTTGTCCAAGACTATCACGCGACCGCTGTTGCCGGATTCGAACTCCGTATCTTTGAGGTATGTTGTCTGCCCAGTACACAGTGGACAATTTTGACTAAGCATATGGACATGAGTTTTGAAAGCAGCCCAAACGTATCTAAACCATTTTTCTATAGGTTTTCTATAACGCTCTTTCCAACCGAATGGTTTTCGAGTTTTAAAAAAGTTTCCCAATGGGTTTTCCAGAAACTGGATCTCTCCAAACCACTTCAAAAATTTTATCAGAATTCAAAAACCATTCCATTGGAAAGAGCATCGCGGAAAACCTATAGAAAAATATTTTAGAAGCGTTCAGGATTTTAAATCTTGACTTTTAAATTTTCGGGCAAAAAGTTCTACGTGTCAATCCCAAAATCTAAGAATTCGATAAGATTCAAAAGTATATGTCCAAAACCCAATGAATTATACGCCATTCGATGCAGTTTTTTAAGCGGATTTTGAATATGCAATTGGTTATTGGTTCTGATGTTTCTGAACTGCGAGGACTTGATTTAACCTCAAAAACCAAGGCTTTTTAGAAAACCTCTCCCAGTGCAGGGAAGCGTTTGGGCTATTTTGGGCTAAGTGTACAGACGTATCATATAAAGAAGAATATCTCCTGAAAGTTTCAGCTTCGGTGAACATCAGGAGAATTTAGGGCCCCAACTCTGCTAAAATTACTTTTGCGAAAAATGCTTAGTCTCCGGAAAACTCTTTTTCTCCTACCAAAAACTAACTAAAATTAAAAACTTTTTTTATTAATCGATAGCCTGGAAACTCAGCTTTCAGAGTATGTGTGTTTCATTTTTCTGAAATTCGTTCTGTTGACAGAAAGAGCAATATTTTTTAAGGGCTACACAAACCGAGCTAAAAATTGTGGCTTACTTTTCTCGATGACCTTAGGGACTAGAGCCAAAATGTTTTCACCATTAAACAGGCCACTGATCACTGTATATGTAGAACTCATTGAATCTCTAAAAATCTCACTTTCGTTTTTTCCCCAAATGTCCACGTTGTTGCGCACTGTGCAGTAGCCGACTGAATCATGCTGCTTTATTTTCTGGTCATTGAAATCTTCTCCTGTTCATATTTCAGAGATATTCAATTTACACTTGACAATTGCCGATTTGAACGAAGATAATTTACCATCACGAACGTGTTCTCCATTATGTATTGAACTAGCTAAACTTTTATGTACAGCGATTGACTCGTCGAAAACGGGCATAGTTATTGATATGAAATATATTCGATTACTGAAACAAAAATATAAAAAGTATCCGGATTTTATGCAGAAACAACCATCATATGAGTCACAATCAATATGTGGTATTCTATACAGATTTGGATTATTATTTAAGAAGAATGATATGAAAGCATTAGATGAACAATTTTTCCGATTAGCACTAAATACTTCGCCACAACAACGTTGTTGTATGAATACTCCAAAACAGCAACAAAATGAAATAATGTCATTACCAACGCCGGTGAGTGAAGATTTCAAACAATTTTCTCAGTAGAACATGTATCACTGTTTTTTCGATTACTCAAAATGAATTGTAGTAAAAAGTAATGTGGTAGGGTTTTTTACATGCCCAAAGTGTTAGCCAAACGAGACCTTGATTTTCAGCGGTCGGACGTGTTAAGTATACGTAATAGACCACGGTGACTTTTGTGGTAACGTTTGTTTTTGAAGAAGAAACTAAATAACTGATGCAAACCGAGATATACAAAAAAGACTAGAGCTTTTAGACTAGTATCATCTCATATTAAAAAGTTCATAACTCAAGCAAAAGATATCATTAACGACATTAAAACTTCAGGATACGGTTAATTTCGTTTGCTGTACGTGATTTTAGGACTGAAAATATTGGAAATAAAGTTATTACTCAAAATGTTTCTAAGGACTTCTTTCAGAAAATTGCAAGGTTTTGTAAACTGTTTCTGTAGATTTGCTAGCAAATGGATATAGATTAGCCAGACTGTTATACACCCTGAAGTTCAAAGTTCATTTTAATGTATTTTTAGTATTTTCTTTTAAACGGATAACAGTGCAACACCAAAGTAGCTTTATCATTTCTTTTGTAGCGATCGATTACTACGGATAAAAACATTAATCAAAGTACAAAGTTATTTAACGATGACCTTAGTTCAATTATTCAATCACCACCACCTTCAAGGATGTCGACACCAAAATCCGATATGTCACTGTCTTTATATTTGAGTGATACAGATTTAATCGATAACAAAACAAGTTTTAATCAAACGGTTAGTTGTAGAGCTGACGTGAGCTAGTTAGAGTTCGAGCTGGAAATTTTTTCGATGGAGTCGGATCCAGGATTTTTTTGAAAGACAAGGATTCGAACGTGAGTTTTTGTGTTTCAAGTTCGATCGATTCAAGTTCTTACATAAATCAATAGGAAAATGAACTCGGACTCAGAAACTCCCTTCCTCTCCTTCACTGAATTCGCCCAGCTCTGGTTAGTTGAAACTTTTTGTTTTAGAGTATATAATTGTTATCGAACAGTAGTAAAAATGTGTCATATAACTTTGGATGGGAAACATCATATATCATATTATATCTTTCTGATCGATATCTTCGTAAGGAATCCTCGTACCAATGAGATCGATGGAAAATATCGGTCATCAAAAAAAAAATTTTTTTGCTTTCACATAATTTTGTGTCACATGTAAATGACATTTTTCGGTGCTTTTATTCTTTAGAATGAATTAGACAGTTTAAATTTAAAAAGTCATTCATCATCACAATGTACAAATAATCTTTCAACAAATCAATTTCTACTTATTGATGGTATGACGGCAACATCAACGTCCGTTCAATCCATTTGTATAATCCCATCGATAAAACCGTACTTTTATTCTCATGAGTACATTCCTCGTTTCGGCATTCAGTTGATACGTCAATTTAGACATTACGATCCGTTATCGACATTATTTTATCAAAAATTTCATGAAACATTTCTCAATAATTCACTTTATGATTATTCTGTCTATGGTAAATTGAAGATGGTCATATCGTTCGGTTATATTTATTGTTTAAAACAACAAGAAAATTTGTCTGAATTACCGACAAATGTAGCATCATTAACAGAACAGCATTTCTTATCCTATTTAATCGATACATTTTTACCGTCAACAGTAATTACGCAAATAAATACTCATGGAGAAAAATGTCTTCAACAAATATTTTATCAACCAAATCATAGAATTCAACGACAGGTATTTGATCTCTTCGTTTTCTTTTGTTCTCTATTTTCACTCGTTTCTGTTTGTATTAAAAAAAATTAGTGTGAAACTTGTCGCCTAATAACACGGAAGGAATTTAAGATTTTAAATGTAAGATTTCGACTTATTGCTAGCCTCATCTGTCCCTAAAATCATGTGTATAGAAAGTTGATGATTAATTAAGACTGAATATCTAGTCGATCGAATGATAATAGCAAAAATATTTTACTTATGAATAAATTTGATAGACATGTGTCACAACTTAAATTAATCAAATAGTTAACTATTATTTTTGTCCATACATAAAAACCAGTAGAATCTGTTTTTTTCTCTATTTTAGTATGTTGTTTCAAAAATGAATTCATTGTTCTTGAGATTATCATGGTTTGATATGCAATTAAAAGTGCAAACAAACGAAATTCACGTGTTATGTTTGAATCGATGTAATGAAATCTTACTGATATTCACAAGAGATGGCAAGCTCAAAAATATTTTCCAAAAACCGATGTTATGGTTTAAATGTTTTCATTATAAACAAACAAATAATAATGATTTTGATTTATTGTATGAATTACGTTCATTTATTGACAATGATGAAGACGTATTTCAATCAATATTTGATTGGGATAAATCACAATTAATGACACCAACAGATCCTAGAACATTACCATTTAGAAATAACTCTGATATTACTCCAATATTATCCATGAGAGTTATTACCAGTATATTTGAATATGGTCTTTATGAAGTACATTCAATTCATCGCAAAGAATTATTCTATTTAAATGATGATTATTACAAAATGAAATGTTCAAGAGGTTATTTTAATTGTCCAACTGAGTTAATTGAAGTACATGTAAATATGCACAAATTTCAAGAAATGACAAGTGATGATGATGATGATGATGATACAAAACAACAATTGAATAAAGTTTGGGCAATTGGACAAGAAATTAGTCACTTTTTCGATGAAGTTGTTAGCAATATGTGATCAAAGTTTAGTTTATTTCTATGCGATTCAGATTTCTAGTTTTGATATGATAATTTGATAATTCTGTGATTGTAGATAACCTTGTTTTATTTTTGAACGATTTATTATTTTTTGTTTTATTTCCCTGTGATATGAAATGCTTCCTTGACACGATTGTTGTTTTTTGTTCTAAATACTTGAAATAATAAGATGAATGTTATACACGACGAAATATTTTAGTCTACTACAACTGATTCCACACGCAGTCTGACGAATGAACCGACACTTATCTTCTATCATACAATGTGCACAATTTATTTAAATAATAGATTCACACAAGCACAGCTATAAGTTTCAAAAATGGATGGTATACGGGATGTTACAGAAATGTCAGCAGTGTTAAACATATGAAATACCACATTAAATCGTTCGCGTATTAAATAGCAGTTGAGTTGTCCCATGACGGGGAGGGAAGGAGAAAAAAGACGATCGTACGAATAACTTTTTTATCTGAAAAATCAATCGGTTTTAAAAATGTTGACAGAAAATCATGATGCTAATAGGTTAACTGTGACATATGGATAACAGGCAAAGGTGACACATAGTCCTGCCTAATGTTGGTGTCGCTATGCTCTTTCTTTGTAGAGGTAGTTGATACAGAAAAATTCTTCATTCTTCTTACGGATAATTTTCATACCCACCGTACATATAGTAGTAAGAAGTGTTCCTAGCATGTAAAAAGAGGAAAAACCTGTTTCGACTACCGATATTTGAATTATTTTTTAAATATTATAAAATGCTATTCTACACGCTATCCTAGTCGAGACTCCCGGCAAAACTCCCACGAGACTCCTGTCACGGGGTCCTGCAAGATCCTGCGGGAGTCAGGTGGAACTTTCAAGGGCTTTCTCAGGACTCCCGAGGGACTTTGAGGGTTCTGAGGACTTTCGTTGAACTCCTGCAGGACTCGAAAGTTCCACAGGAGTCCTGAGAAATCCCTTGAGAGTCTCACCTGACTCCTGCAGGATCCCGTGACAGGTGTCCCGTGGGAGTTTTGCCGGGAGTCTCGGCTAGGGTACGACTTGATCATGGTTATTTAGGAAATATTGTCTCAATTATATATCAACTCGAAGAACAGTATTAGTACTTGTACGTCTTAGTTCCAGTGACAGGTATGTTTAAAAATCATCTGGGATGCTGGGAGACAAATCTCAGCAAAACAAGATAAAATCGAGAAGATTACGTTGAGACGGTTATACTGTTCAGCGACCTCAAAAGTAAACATAGTTAATTGGCTGTTGATCTTACCATTCAGAAATGACGATAAATTGTAGAGGGTCTATACTGTAGTTTTCAGTTGATTTCATAGAAAATAAATATTTTTTGCCTTTTCTGTTTCTGAGTTTCGCAATGTGTTTCAATTTCTGCATCACTCAATGCTGTCATAAATGATGCTGCAATATGACTACTCTTGCATTTCGTTTTTTTCATCAGTAACACTTTCCTTGAGAAGAAGCAAAACATTTTGGTTCCATCGATTTTTATCAAATTTTGTTTACCAAAAAAGAGCTAACATGTCAAATATTATTACTCTAAATGAAGCACTATCATCCATTGATAAAATAAAAACTATTCTAGAGAATGATGGTGTTATTGCTGTTCCAACTGATACGATTTATGGTTTGGCGGCATTAGTACGAAATGAACGAGCGATAAAACGAATATACGAAATTAAAGGACGTAGTTTTTTGAAACCACTGGCCATTTCTGTTGGTACGGTCAATGACATCTCTAAATGGTCTGTACCCACAATATCCAACGAACACCTGAACGAATTACTTCCAGGACCTGTTACGTTAATGTTTCCACGTCAAACAACATTACCAGATTACTTTAATCCATCTGTTCAAAATGTAGCTGTTCGCATTCCAGATTATACCTTCATGATTGAACTAGCACAACGTCTAAATGAACCGATTGCATTGACTAGTGCAAATATATCAGATTCAATTAGTTCATTAACGATAGATGAATTTGAATCATTGTGGCCAAAAATTGATTTAATTATCGATGGTGGTTTGTTAACAAAAGACAGGACCGGTTCAACAATTGTTGATTTAAGCGTAAAACAGCAATATCACATTCAACGATATGGCGTTGACAACGAAAGAATTATTAAATATTTGAAAAATGATTGTCATTTAACAGAGCGTAAATAGAGATTGTGCTCATAATGAACTAGGCGTTGTGAATCTAGATATATATACGGCGTTTATATATACTAGTTTATATATACGCTAACGCTCTTCTATTACAAAGCGCTTTCCGAAAATAAATTAAGTGCTTTGTAACAAATTTCTCTTGAACTGTATTTTGTAAACCAGATCAGATCTTGTTTTTATTTACTGTTTTGACATTTTTGTGAAATAAACGATTTAAAAAAATTATGAGCTCAGAAAAACAAAATTTACATGAAAACCAAGACCCTTTTTAAAATCTTATAGCAATGTCATCAAAAGCATGTGCATGTTTGTGCATAAACTCTCGATGTGTGTACTATGAATTTCATAGTATCGCAGTATCATAGTACAACTTCCATAGTTCACGCTATCATAGCTGACTACCAGGGAGCGCAGGCGGGAGGGCGGCAGCATGAGAGTGAGTTACAGGACAGCACTACACTATTTGTTCTTAGATGAATCGAATATGAAACTATAAAGCTAGTCTTGATACGATGACACTGTGAAACTATGAAAGTGGTACTATGATACTGTGAAACTATGAAAGTCATAGTATGATGCTGTGGTACTGCGAAACTATGTATGTGCGGTGTTGCTATGATAAGTCGATACTATGAATTCATGGTTATACTATAGACCTTCGCTGTATGAAATGACAGTCCTCCAGTCCAGAATTGGCAGCACCATTATTTACAGCAGAGAGAAAGTTTGACAATTATATTGAAAAGATTAGACAACGATTGCTAAGATCCAATTGCACACCGGATTGAAGATGAGAAAATCAAGATTCAAAAAGATGCTGATGTTGGAGAAGAAGATTTCGGTTCGTCCTTGTCGCTTTTTGCTAATAATCAAAGTACAGTTGAGAGGCCAGACCCTTTGACTGCTATCGTAGCTCGTACTTCGGCTGAGAAAACCGATCTTGCGGGTATTTCGACATCCAATCCTCAATTTTATTCAAAAACGGCTGAGAAGCAATCCGAGTCGTTCAGTGATTCTACAGATATACCTGGTGATTGGCTAACTAAACTTGATTCAGCCTCTTCTGGCTTCTCTTTGGACCAAGAAAATCAGTTGCGGCAACTTCTCTTTCAATATTCCAACATTTTCTCGTCAAAACCAAAAATATTTTCACAGTGTTTCATTGACAGCACGCGCTGAGACGGACTGTAGTCGATCGGAAAGACCCAAGAGATACCAATCATTAAGTCAGAAATCACAACTTTTCTTCCTTTCGTTCAGTTTCAATAGAGAAAAGTGGTTAATTGTAATGTATATCCGATAAAATATTTGAAAAGTGAAAGATTGTGGGCTAAGAAGGGTTAGTTACAATTTTACACCAGTTTAAATGCATATTTTCAACTACATACTTTTATTTAAGTACAAAACCAACTAGTTGATGCTAATAACTACGGAAAAATAATTATATTATAAAAGCTACACATACAAAAAAATATTAAAGAACTTTTGTGTAATCCTTGTGATTAATGATAACATTAGTGATTGGTTGCAGTCGCATGTATTCGTATTTGATGTTGACTGATTGTCAGTAATTAAAGACTCGTTTTGGTGTTAAGTAACGAATATGCTTGCCGATGATAATTCACGACTTGGAATTGTAAATCATGATGTGACTTCTTAATTTTGTTTGTAAACAACATTTTTATTACTGGAATGAAAACTAATTCTCTTTTTTTGTTAAAAACACCATTCAACCGAATATTCTTTTTATTTCAAAACTCTTCATTGTAAACGATGAGACTGGAGATCTATGAAAAAAAACAATATGGTTTAAAGTTGGTTTTGGTCATCTCTTTTTGACTTACGATCAATCAGTTTTAAACGTCTTACCATCAGTAGAAAAATAGATTATCGGAATTAGTTATATACATTTGTACAATTGACTTCATTTTCTTTATAATATTTTACTAAGATCACATTGAAACCCGGGTAACACCGGATCAGCACTGACCGATGTTGGATTAATGATCTTTTTGAAATATCTCGATTGTTGCGGGTGAACCGTCTCTTCGCGGATCGATAAGCTATCCTAAACGAACACCCTTGTATTTTTTCACGTGGCAAAATTAAGCCCGGACTCTCCATTTATAAAGACACCTAGTTCAGTTGACTACCATGTGCCAAGTTTAATAAATAATTTAGCAGTAACAATTCCTGCTGTTGTTGAACACGGAGGCATTATTACGAGTTTTTTTATTAAACTCAACTCGATATCCCAGTAAACGCTGAGATATCAACCGTATGATGTAGTCATCCATATGTCGTTTTGTCGATCCTTTTATAAGAGGTGAGCAAAGAGCAGAATGTAAAAATTGATAAAATGAAATTGTTTTTACCTTCTCTATATTGACATGATAGTCAATGAATGTGTAACAATAATGAATTCTGTTAATATCTGACGTAGTAACCGAAAAGTCAAAGCGTTCAAATCAGAGAGAAATATTCCCTTGACTTTATGATTAGTCTAGGGTCTTACAAAATGGTTGTCTGTGTGTGTGTGTGCGCAAAATACGCCGTCAGATATTCTATGGATAATCCAATCATAAACGAGAAACATAAAAGATTTCTTTTTAATCACCAGAGAGCATATATTCAAAGAGGTGATCAGAAATATTTACTGATGCATAAAGACAAAAAGCTAAGTAAACGTTTTCTGTAGGTCGGGGACAGATGTCGATTCAAAAGTCACGAAAGGGCGTTCAGTAGCGCAGATCCAGGTTAATAAAGTCAAGGGACCGAGCGTTACCTTGTTGTATACTATAATATCCGAATTTTTATGCTTTGTAGTTCACTTTTTTCTTTCTTCCTGTTAGCAATTTGGTTATTGTTCACCCAATTACCGTATGGGCTCGCAGATGTCGCACGTATACCTCCCAGCCTTCTTGAAGCAGTCTTCATAAACGTTTAGCGACTTAAGCCAATGTTCTGACAGAAAAACTTGAAAGTAACTCGCGACCTCGCATGAAGCAGTCCTGATTTTTAAGCCGACTGAATGAACGTAGTGACTGCCGACTTATTGCTTTTCTCCAGAGTCCGCGCATGTTCTTCTTTCTTTCTTTCTTTCTCTACGTCTCGAGTGCGTTTTTCGGTCGGTCGATCTCGTCATAGAAAACTGGGACAAAAAAGAGAATATAAAACTCACACTGAATTCGATACTTCCGAGATTGTTTTTGCGTTACCCGTTTTAGTTTCTCAGATCTATGCCCTAAACAGGGTCACTCAAAAGTTGGGACTTAGAAACTTTCCACGATCGAGATAATGAACACGTGATTAACTAGATGCCAACTGTGCTCTGCGAAGATTGGAAGCCGACTGAGTAAAACGCGAATGGGACTAGTTAGATTCTATCTATAGCAGTACCGTGGATCTAACAGTCAGTAAACTGCTATATAAAAGAGCCTACTGGGGTGGTGTTTTCTCCTTTAGCTACAAAAATATATTTCGAATTTTATTCACCTACATTTATCTTCTATAGCATATTATTCACACCAGCGTATCAGCTGATTCATTATCCTATCATACATTCTGCTATAGCTTTCATCATATCAAGCACTATAGTATAGATTCCTTATGAAGGATATTACGTGACGACTAATTATGTGATAGGAGAAACGATAGTTTTCTGAAAAATATACTTCATTTTGTGGTACTAATTATGCTATACCCGATAATCAAGAAAAAGAATTGATGCTTGGTTAAGCGTCGTCATTGCTAGGTAAAGTGTCAATCATTTTTGAAATAACTATTTCTATTATACTTTGTTTTTTAGGATGTTGTATTTAGCTATTAATAGCAATATTTTTTAATTTACCAGTTTCCGGTAGTCATGGTATTGTGAGTGCAATCATTGGTTTTGCACTTGCTCCATAGGGTATAAATTGGGTTGAATTTGGTAAAATTGGTAAGTAGACACGTACATGCTAGTTCATTGAATAAACTTTGAATATTCTCTTCTTGTTATTCCAGCTGCTTCTTGGTTCATATCATCCGCTTTAGCAAGTGCTATTTCAATTGATGATTTTTTGCTAATCAAAAAAGGTATTTTGGAAGCGGTAAGAAACGTTTACAGACGTTTATTGATGTTTTTATACTCAATATTCTGTTTTATATCTTTTAGAAGTCACATATGACATCTGGTTTACGTTGGTTACCTGTATTCTACTCTATAAAAATCATGATTAATGTTATATCAGTTCTATATGCTCCGCCATGTAATTACTGGAAGACAAATTTTTGAAATAATATTTGAAAAAATTTGTAAAGAGTAAGGTTATTGCATGAAATTCATGTTACATTACATTTATTTGATAATAGAGTATTATAAAGCTAGAAAAGAGTAAGATGTGTGTTTCACGCTGTATAGTGCTTCAATATGTGTGAAGAGAGACTTCTGTAGTCGACTAGACTGGATCAGAATTGAACGACTTACTAACAAAAGTTTTGGTAAAAATCCAATCTACTTTGAACGCTAATCTGGAATCTGGTATATATGTATATATCAAAAAACAGTCATACCGACCTGAAACAAACCATCCAAATATACAGGTGTTTGACAGTTATTCTTGTATTCGTGTTGGAGATGTTATTCTTGCATGCTGTTTTTGTTGACTTGACGTTTGCTAGTATATTTATCTCATTATATCCTTGTTAAACAAAGACTGCGGGGGACAGTGCTCAGTCAACGTGAAACCAAGGTAAGGCGTTTTAGTTCTAGTTATTACTTTTAAATTAAGTTATAATTATTTTAACTTTTTGTCAAAGTTTGTTTACTTTTACCTTCTAAAAAATACTTTTAAACTCTACAGTGTGCCTATTATTTTATCTTATAAATAACCAGTGGTCAAGTATCGTTCAATATCAGCTCTTTAAATTCATATTTTGTATTGAAATAAGATGGTTGATAACGCGAAAGCTTTAAATTACTTAAAGTTAATATTTGATTTAGATCAAAACTACTTGTATATATTCTTTTCTATTCAACGTTCATTCTTTCTTCATCATGTTAGATATTAAAACGTGATCTCATTTCTTTGTTGAATGCATCACCTTCTTAGCCGTGTCATGTTTCCTTAGTGAAGTTAAATCGGTTGTATACGTAATGTACACGAAAAAAAGTTCATTAGGCCGTAGCATCGCCCTTGTATGCAAAAAAATAACATCGTTCATAGAAAACTCAATTTCTATTATAATTCCTTTCATTCTATTCAATATAATTTTGTTTTAATGTTGATGAAACTAAGTATTCATCGTTGCTATTTCTATGTGTCATAATTATAAATATAGATAACATTCTTGAAAATAAATTTAATCAAGATTCGTTGGATAAAAAATTTTCTCTTCTTGGGTGATGTGTTAGATTTAAATAAGATAGAAACAACATAAGATCCCAGTTTTGTAGATATTCCACATTTTCTTGAACGAATATACTGCATTGAAGATATATTATCAAATCTCATTTATATGTAGAGTAGAACAAGAGGGAAAAAAACACGTGTTTTCTCAGTGTGGAGGTATTGAACTAAAGTATGTTACGGTTGCTGAGAGATAAAAACATTTACCAGAGATACAAAGAGGGATGGGGAAACAGGAAGAAAAAAATCTACTTAAACAAAACATTTCTTCCCATATACCCATAAAGTGAGAAAAGAAAAGAACTTTCTTGTTGAATATCTTATATTATTAGAAAAAAGAAAAGAAAGTCATAACGTTATATTCATTTTATCAACACATCCTTGAGCATTATCGGCAATCAAAACATGTCAGAAACTGTGGTTTTCTGCAACTTTTTCAACGGTAAGTATAGATATTTTCTGACTTTTACAATTTTGAGACGCATGATTGTTATATTATAACTAAAAAATTTTAATAATGGAAATTTTTCTCGTATAAACACCATTGATTATATGCTCAATACATGATAATTTCTGTATGCACAGAATTCCAGTGAAAAAAAATGAGTGTAATTCCGCAAATTCCTGCAAGAAAATATTTTTTCGTCAAGAGTTCCAATTTTACTGCAGAAAATTTTTTTTTCGGTGGGGAAACAGTGATTCACGGCGAAGTTTTTCTTACGAATTATGCGGAATTCTTTTTCTGTAGAAACAACACGTTTTTTATGGGAACAGATTCCGAAGGAAACTTTTCTTTTCTACGTATGTTGTTCAACCATTGATAGGTTCTTTATAGACATTCTTTAAACCCGCTAGTTACAATCTAGAAAAAGCAAACTAAAACCGCCCATTTATGACACACATTCACCTTCTTACATAAACTAAACCGGCAAGCAAAAACGAGAAATTTACTCCTAATTATCTTTTTTCTTCTCTTTCAGCAATTTTTTTCTCTCTATGTTGTCCTTCAGTGAAAAAAAAATGAGCATAATTCCGCAATTTTCCGCTGAAACTGAATGTGATGCTCTTCAATGCATTTACACAAGATGTCACTCTTATGGTGAACTAACTCGAGTTTTTGAAATCAGAAGTTTTTCTTGAACGAGAGAATTATTCTGATGTTTTTCAGCGCAAAAGTTTTCATCATTGTAGACGCTCATGACTGTGTTTACTAGCATTGATGACGTTTTTCTAACTGACGAAACAAAACCGAGAAGATCATCACTCGGTTTTGCTTTATTAGTGCTTCCACAGATTCCAGATTTTTACTATTTCCTGACTATGTAACGGTTTTAGTCAAAATACATTCAATTGAATTGAATTTGTTTGTTCTTGAGCCATTAGACCACACTCCTTCCATTTCTGCTATTTTTTATTGATGAAAAAATGTTGCTAAAATTGAATGAAAAAATTCAATACATTAGGGTAAAACAGCAGAACATCTCTGAAACCAGCTTCTAATACTAGTAGAATTTTTACTAAGAGAAAACTTACTAAAAATTAGAATGTCTAGTCATATTAGGAGATTGTGTAAACGTAGCGAGAATTTTCCCTAGTAAAAAGTTTTTCAGATTTTTCCAGGAGTACAACGGAAAAAATTATTTTTTTAAAGAAAATGTTTAGTTCTCGCTTTAAAAATTTTTTGTTTTTTTGAGCGGAAACTTGCGGAATTACGCTCTTTTTTTTCATTAAACAGTACCATGTTTAGTCACAACATGATGTACACATATATGTGTGCATGTATGCGTTCACTATAGCTCTATGAATCCTATTCAGAGTATACTTCGTATCAGTTCTTTGTTTGGAATGAAATGTGTAATATCTACAAAACTGAGATCTTATGTTGTTTCGATCTTATTTAAATCTGACATATCATCCGAGACGAGAAAGTTTTTTTATCTAACGAATCTTGATTAAATTTATTTTCAAGAATGTTATCTATATTTATAATTATGACACATAGAAATAACTTGATGAATGAATGGGTACTTAAAATACTTAGAAATGAAGGCTTAGTTTCATTAACATTAAAACAAAATTATATTGAATAGAATGGAAAGAGTCATAATAGAAATGAACTTTTTTTCGTATACATTTAGCCTGCGTATGCAACTGGTTTAACTTTACTAAGGAAACATGACATTGCAACGAAGGTGATGCATACTATAGTATTAAAAATACGAAATATCTGTGTAAAACGAGATGAAAATAAAACATTTACAAATCTAATATAAATTCTGTTTTATTTAGTGGATAAGTATTGTCGATGAATCTTTTTTTGCTATGTAAAATTTTCTATAGTTCATATTCACACACTGTTTTACAATTCGAGAAAGTCACGTAAAGTATTAAGTAGGAGTAAGAAGCATAACTACGACAGAAAGAATTGATTGTCCTTTTTTTATATTCTTCCCAACTGATTTTGTTAACAATGTTTCTATTAGATATTCATCATAGATGCTGTATGTAAAAGCTCGTTTTCATCATTTATTTACTTCTCACAGAAAAGAATATTAAGTAATGAATTCCAAACTGATGAATCATTTCTGTTAGTAAATTTTTTGGCGTGTTGTACTATTTACAGACTGATCCCTCTATCTAGAGAAGATCGTGGCCGACGTGTCTGAAGAGCCGGATTTAATTTCCTACAATGAAAGATAGAAGATTTTTAGTTTATTCAGTATGTTGTACATCGAGGCTTCTTAATTGAGATCACTTTTTATAATTAAAGAAATAAAACTGATCTCAGTTTGGAAATGGCATATTCTATCAATTTTGAAAAGTGATATCAGTTTGGAAAATGAGCTTTTAGTTCCTATTTTATTAAAATATGAGCCATTTCCAAACTGAGATCAGTTTTATTTCTTTAATTATAAAAGGTGATCTCAATTAAGAATGAGCCGTTGTACATATACATTGCATCATTAGTCGTTTCATATGCCTTTCTTTATTTTCATTTTTCAACATGTAAATATAGGATATAAAAGTTTTTTGTCTCTTAAGCATAGAATGAACTTTTGAAACCGTATGTATGAGATATAGAAGTAACTCATTACCTATCCGTTACAAGTTGCCATCATCAGCAATAATTATGGCTTTGTTACTGGTCTATATCCATGAATATCATTATTGGTATAAAGTATTAGATGTATAGAGTGATAGTAGGAACAATAAATAAATAATGATTCGAAAAAAATTAAAGTTTTTTGAAGCACAAATGCCGATGCATGTGTGAATGAGGGTTCCATGAACAATATAAATAAAACATGACAAAAATGATTTGGTTCTTTTTTATTTAATTCATCTAATGATTCTGTTAAAGCAGGAAAGCATTGAGATTGATCTTCATTCCCACAACTTTTTACGTTTTTTTTGTATAAAGCTTATTATAAAAGCATTGCGAACATTTTTCATGAGCTGGTTTGGCTCTTATATTTTTGATATCTGGAATATATTCCAGTAAATGGATGTCAACTATTTTCTATAGCCTGAACTAAAAATTAGCAAGAATGTATACCTTGTCACGTGGAATACCACAATGTTCTCGAAATTTTATAAAATTGTTTTTTTCTTCAAAATTACATTTTTCTTAGTATTTTGGAGACTCGAGTAGCATTCCATGTGACGTAGATCATGGTATCCTCACTATGCATTCCTCTATATGTGTTGTTCACAAAAATCAAACTTTTTTAAATTAATTGTTGCTTCTGTTGTCATAGTGTTCCGGTTGATGATGTAAATCTGCTGCTATTCTTTACATAATATTGTACAATCATTCTGATTTAATTAATAATTGATTAATTGAAATATTGTTGGATGTTTTTTAATGCAAGAATATTATATTAGTAAATGCGAGTAGAATATAGCTGTAAAAATAATTCGTGAGGATGTTTTACAAGATGCGTAATTTATTTACGTTTAGAAACTGACTTAAATAGACATTACATTTTTAATAATCTCAAATTTAGATTTTTCCGATTCAAAGTGGGTTTTTAGTCCATTCGATCATTTGCATCAATTAGAAGAGGGCACAAATCAACTATGTAAATGTTTCTCTTCTCTTTTATAGGAAATGTTTAAATTATCATCGTAGTTTCAAGGATCTTATTTATCAGGAAAAATACTAAAATAAAAGTAGGGAATGACTGTTGAAGTTACGCATACTGCACAGTATTATCCACAAGATATGCAAAAACCTACGCCACAAGTTTATCATATAACCGGAGAACGACCGGTTTCTACCAGTAAGTTAAACAATGAAATTTAGCTGTTAAAATAATCTATCTGTTTGTATTTTAGGCACGCAAAGCCCGGTAACAATGCGTGCTCTTGTTACCGATCCAGAACGATATAAACCAGTTGCCAACCATGCACCACCATCTCATTTAACAAAGCCGACTCAGCCAGTAACCATGTACACCCTCGACACTTATCATCCAATTGTTCACCAGCCACTGCAATCGGATCCACGCGTCTTCTACATTGAATCCAATCAGAAGGCTTTAGAAACTTTAGAAGAACACGATCCAAAACCGATTCCTCAACTTTATACAGTAATTGGAAAGCCCATAGAGCCGAATACTATTCATGAAACACAGCCAGTGATTGCAAGGGATATAGAACCCACGTTATTCTCGATTATGGGACATCCTGTAGCACAAACTATCGTTGATGAAGTACCAGTAATCACAAGAGAGAAGGAGCCACTTTTATATGATATTAGTGGTGATTCTAATAATATTCCAACAGCAACGGAGAATATCGAGCCGACGTTGTATTCAATTGTAAGCAGTCCGACCTTTTCAAAAACAATTCTACCTGTTACACATTCAATTCGCACTAAAGAACCTGTTCTATATTCAGTCACTGGGCAACCTCGCTATACATATAATATTCAAGACAAAAATTCTGAATATTTGCCACAGGTACCGATTGAAGCAATGCCTGACAAAACCGCTACGCTTTACTCTATTGTCGGCACTCATTCTTCAGTACATCTACCCTCGTCACTACAATCAAAATCATTTCAACCGAAAAAACAAAGTGCCGTGCCAAATTTATACACTACAATTGGTGGACCTCAACAAACTAGTCCACTTAAGCAACCAAAAAGCAGTTTGGATTATGAACAAAACCCTGTGCTCTATTCCATTATGGGTCAACCAAAAGTACCACTAGATGTAAAGAAATATACCAGAAAACCTGAATCACAAGACCATAATCAGTCTCATTATCGTGAACCAACAAAGGAAAATATACCGCCCCATATCTACACTGTAGTCGGCGAACCAAGAGTACCAGCGTTCCTTAAAAAACATCATGCGCAAGAAAATACTCCAGCGCATAGCGTAGTGAGGGAATCCAAACTGCCTGCTATAAAGAACAAAAATCAATTGCCGCAAGAAAACATCTTAACATATGCCATTATAGATTCTCCTAAAAAACCACCAATAATAAATGCAACCACTATTCCATTGACAGGAAAACAATCCGTAGTTAAGTCACATATTCCCAGTGTAAAGAAAAATTCGACACTTTATAGTGTAAGTTTTGTCCTTATCATGTGACCTTAAAAGTAGTTGACTGTCACCTTCATTCACTATGTTGGTCTTTGGTTTAGGTTGTTGGACATCCTGAGACACCAGTGATTATTCCATCGAGACCTGTGAAACAAACACGTACTCCCAGAGAACCAGCAAATTCCGAACCCCGAAACGCAATTCGACCATTGAGACGATATGCGAGCATCGAGCCGAAACCATCGTATACACATCAACCTGTCAAAGAACCTGAAGAAGTCATTTCCCATTCCGTTATCAATCATTATCCTAGAAAAGGTAATAGTAGAAGTTTTTTCCAACGTTTTACAGAGTGGAACAACTCCAATTTTTTAAACTCCATTAACAACCGCTTCTACTCCCGGTACAATTCTACTACATTTTTACGTATATTAGTGGCAATCTTGCCCTATGTCTAACTCGGATGACGTTTGCATAACTCCACTCAAAATTCATTCAACTCCAACTGCTGTTGGAGTTTGCGATTTCTAGCGTTTTATGTTTACTATTTCTCTTTGAATTTTAGCAGCAGTACGAAAACCAGAAAAAATGATCATTCTATATCCAGTAGAGCAAAAACCTCGACAAGTACTTTCAGAACGTAATCCGGTTATTGAACATCATGTAATAGTAAAACATAAAGAACTACCACCAAAAGTAATACATAATGAACCAAAATTTATCGAACAGAAACCGTTGCGATACGTATATCGTACACAAAAACCATTTCAGTCGAGAGAGCAAAATCACACTATTCCAAAATGGCCAAAACAAGAACGATCATTGCCGAGAATCATACGAAAGCCCACAAGAAAAATTGATCGTGGCTTGGTTCATCAACCCAAATTCAAACCCACTGTAAGTGCCATAGCGTCCTAAATGCGACCAAAATTTAAGCCAATTAGCCTAAAGTGGTCGCAAATTAGAACGAGTAAAGTTACATTGATCTGCGTTTCCAAAAAGCGATCACTTTTTAATTAATGAGTAATCAATAATCGTAATTTGGAATACAGACATATATATAAACTGGTCCTTTCTAGAAACAATAGAATACAATAAAAGTAGAAACATATATATTAAGAATTGGTGACTATATATTTATGGATAATACACAGCTATACTAAAAAAAAGCGATATCAGCATAGAATTTAGTCTTCGTCACTACTATCTCTAGTCTTTTATAACGTCTACATACTGATGAGAAAGAGCTCTTAAAACTTTTTGATAATTATCAAAGTTTGTCGCACTCATAAATTCGTATTATATATGTTGTGGAGAAAGTACAGAATTAGCGAATCTGTAGAATCGCTAGTGAATCTATAGAATCGCTAAAAATTCTGCGAAGTAACCATAAGTGTATGCGCATCAAGAGAAAAATTCATATATTTTTTTAAATAAGTTGTCATAGAAAATTATTAATTGCCCAGGACAAGTTTTAGAAACGTACGGAAAGTAGTTTTCTTATCCGTTTAGGAACGTTATCCAGCTGGTGTTCGACGACGTTGGGATTATATATCGCACAGACATGATGGTGATAATGATGATGATGATAATAATAATAATGGACCGAAACGTAAGAGACCACGTTATGATCGCGTACCACGGCCACGAACACCCTGGTTACCAGTCTGGCGTTAAGTTGCAGACTGGAATCGTTCAATGAAGTTTGATTTACAAACTAACCTACACATCTATATTAATTTTTGAAAGAAAAACAATATATAATTGTTTTTCTTTCCTAATCCTCTATATTAATTGCCGGTGATTGTTATAATTTAATATTATTTTTATATTGCAAGTGTATTATAGAAGGTCTAACTGTAATCACTGTCAGGTCCTTCTGTGTGAGATACAATCTCCTGTAATTAAACTTATCGAAATTAATCTCTCGGCTGAATTTTATTTCAAAATGAATTAATTTATTTTGGATTTCGAGGATTACATTCTCGTTCTGACATGGTTTTTTTGAATTATTGTTATTTTGTATATTTTTCAAATAAAACACAAATCAGTTGCTTAGCGTGGAGTTCGTACAAAACTATCCATATATTTATTCTGTGATTCGAAGTGGAGCCAGTTTTCCGCTAAAATTTGAGCAAACAATGGTATACTAGCGATGCATTATAAAAGTAGGGCCCTCTCAGATACAATCGTGCAAATAAACTAACAGTTAACTTTAGGTAATACTTCATTTCACATATATCATACCATATGTTAAATTGATGCTTTTGAAACTTATAGTTATTCTGCAAAATCAAACAAAAAAACAGTCCTATTCACAAAAAAATTCTAAATTGTTTAAACTCTAAAACATGAAAAAATTAAGATATTAGAGCAGTTTAAAATACGATCATGAAATTCTAATTTAGTTAATAGAAATTTCCTGAAATTGTGGATAACTTCAATCAGAAACGTCGTGAAACATTTTGAGTAGGGTGAGAACATGTCCGAATTTCAATTTTTTTTAATTATAGAAAAACATGTTGGATGGAGTTTAAAATCAAAGTAATTTCAACACATATATTCAGAAAGTAATACAAAAACTACTCTAACTGGACAGTACCTGATATGAATGGCTGCCAGAACTTTGCGTGGGATACAATAATCTTGTTTATCCTATCTCTTTCCGTACGTCTTTCATTAGATTTCGTTCTCCCACATCTCATGAAAATTTTGCACGACATGGAACAAAACAAATTTACAGTTAGAAGCCAAAATACAAAAGGACCGTCGTACGAGGAAAAAATTTTCATTTAATCCTGTCTAATCTCATCCTATTAGGACTTTTGCTACACTATTGCTCAAAACAAAATATGCATCAACATTTATGAAAATTTGCAGCATATCACCGGAAAAAAAATAAAGTCGGTTTTCAGTTGTTGAAAAGTGCTTTTTTGTATGCAGCACACTCGATAATCCAGAAGATTTTCTATTTTTGGCGAGGCAAAATTTTCAAACTAATATTATTTTTCCATGGAAATTTTTTTGCACCATTTAGTTTGAAAATTTTTTCTAAACTTTTGGAAGTACTCTTCACCAAAAACTGAAAATCTTCTGGATCATCGAGTGTACTGGATACGAAAAGACACCTTTCAACAACTCAAAAGCAACTTTATTTTTTTGTTCTGATGAGCGAAATAAGATAGAAATCAAGGAATTTTGCTGATGGGTAGTTCAGACCTAGCGACATAAACCTATGCAAAAGCTGAATCAGAGACACTGTCTGCAGATGATGTATCTTATGATCCTTTAAAGGATTAGATTGCTGCTTCCGAAAAAAAGATGAGTTTTGAGGATTAGATTCGAACCACCGAACGCTCTTTTATCGACTATACAAAATCTTGTGACAATAGAGCACTAGCAAATAAGGAGATATCTCTTTTCACATAAGATATCCTGTATGCAGATATTTTTTCGTCTCAGCGCGTCGATTGAAACGAAAGAGAACAGAAAGATATGCATGTACGAAAAGAGATATCTTCTTATTTGCTAGTGCTCTAATGTTTGTTTTTAGAGCAAAGTTCGATTAATCCATTTTTGACCATTTTCACCGAAACTAAAATATTTATAACTCAATCAAAGAGATTTAGGAACGATGTGCACGTACAATGTTGCACACGGATTCTGGCGCACGAGGAAGCTTGCGCGTGGAATCATGTGCATGGATATCTTACGCACAAGGAATGTTCCACACCGGAGTTTTACCAGGTTGTTACGCACGGACGCTTGTGAACGTATCACATAATGAGACAAAAAAATCAGACTGATGATGTTCTGTAATCACAGCGTTTCCCTTTTAGTCTAAAGCTTTTAAACAGCATAATTAATTTTTGTGAACAAACTAACTAAACGATGATGTTTCGTAAATAATATAGTACTATAAAATACTTTAGTATAAATTACTTTATTTCCAATTCACTTTTGGAACGTTCATGATAGAACAAAATATCCATTAATGAGAATAGATAATTCATCTGAAGCCTGGAATCGACGTATTGGTGAGTAACATTTTCTTATTCTTTATTTTTCTGATTGTCTGTTTTTCTCGGTGCTATTGCACTCTCTTGCATACAGACTGTTTATTTCAATGCTCTCATCCAACATTATGACAAATTACGTGATGAGGAAGATTCGGCCATTTGCATAAAAATTTTACACATCTACACTGGAGAATCCATATAAAAAACGAAGAAATATCAACATTTAGATAAACGTTTATTAAATTTAATGTTAAATCCACATACAGATGTAATTGGTCAAATCAATAATCTAGCTCTAATATTTCTCTTAAATAAACGTCATCATCATTTAGTTAGTTTATTCACAATAATTAATTATGCTCTTTAAAAACGTTAGACTAAAAGGAAAACACTGTGAACATCATCAGTCTGATTTTTCTGTCTCATTATGTGATACGTTCGCAAGCGTCCGTGCGTAACAACCTGGCACGTAAAATTCCGGTGTGGAACATTCCTTGTGCGTAAAGTATCCGTGCGCATGATTCCACGCGCAAGTTTCCTCGTGTGTATGAATCCGTGCGCAACATTGTTTGTGCGCATCTTTCCGGAACCCCGATCAAAATCTATCAGAACTAATTCAGAATATCAATATGTACTCTATTTTATTCGCTCAATATAATCATGTACTCAAGATCGTTAAAATATATTTTCTTTCTTCAGGAGGTCTCTACATATCGAGACGAAACAGATTTAACAGGAATTTTTTTATAGGTTACTTATAATCGTAACTTCATGACGAATAAAAAATATCTCTGCTCACGTCCGCTCCGTTACCGAGATGTGAGATATTTTTTGTAAAAACTGGCTCTTGTTGATTGCTCCGAAGGAAAGATCGTAACTTTATTACTTAGACAGCTATAGCTTTATACTTAAATGATCGACTTTTTTGGCACTGAGATTGCTACCATGGATGAAGATATATTATTTATTTATTTAATATATATTTTATATTCGTCATGAAGTTATGATTATAAATAGCCTACAACAAAATATTTTCTTTAATTTATTCTTTAACTCCAGTTAAATCTGTTTCATCTTGATATGAGATAGTGTTTTCAATAACAAAAGTATTTTTTGTCGATTTTTAAAATTGATGTTCATGATACAGTGTAGATAAAACAAGATATATCCTAATATTTTGAATTAGTTTTGGTCGGTATTAACTGAATTATGAATGTATTCATTTTCAGTGATAATAGCTAAAAATGGGTTATATCACATAACAAATGTTTCAAAAATACTTATGCTCATTTTATTTGACTATGGATAGTAATAAAGTAAAACTTCGAAAAAGACTTTGAACAAATTAGCCCTTATTCGGGAGAGAACACATACTTCCAGTAAGTCTTCTAAATTGAGTGAGAGTGAGTGAAAAAATAGCGGTCTCAATCAAGAAGTTCAGCCAACTTTCAACCATTGCTCTAAATATGAAAGTAAAGAGTAATTACTATCTACTCCTTTTTTCAGAGTAGAAAGTAACTATGATACCTTCCTTACTCTCAGTTCTTGAGATCTTTTCTCATGCCAAAAGTCAGAGTTAACCGTTTCGACGGAAATATTTTCTAAATGCAGGAAAGGCAATATATTCTCCCCTGCGCCTAGATTCCTAGATACTGCCTAGTTCCTAGATACTGTTCTTAATATTAACGAACTCCAATACATCAGACATCTGACCGTCAAAACTGATTGTTTCATTTCCATCTATATCGAGTCTTGCTAATATTACTTGAATTTCTCTTTCGGCCCATACAGGACTGATACCTAACATTTCCTGCATTGGCAAATAATATTTTCTCAATTCTTAAATGGCAATATTTCCATCACTATTTTTATCAAGTTTCTGAAAATCTTTTTTTAATTGCTCTTCGCTTACACTCATTTTTTAACGTTGCTTGGACTTGTTCTTTCGTTTAATGCAGTATTTCTATATTTAATCAAGAGACGTATTGATCACGAGGTGTTTAAATACCATATTAGATACTCAGTTTTACACGCGCGGCTTATTCTTGTTTTGAAAACAATGGTTTTCGTCGTACGATTTCGTTAATATATCATACGATTAGGTATACGACGGACCGGACAAATGTCCGATGTTTGACTCAAGCATGTTCCGTTCGGACATTGTTTGATTCGAACACGGTTTGACTCAAACAGTGTTTTACTCTGACACTACCCGATTCGGACCTGTTCGAACCGAACATTCAAACACTGATCGACTTTTTTCAAATGCTATTTTCTCTCATTAATTTACAGCTTTTTTTTAGTTTTTGACTGGCAACAACCAATACGGCTAAGAAATCAAAGTTCGTCAGGGTTATTTTTTCATTTTGTTCTCTAATTTACGGTCGCTTTTAACAACTGATCTAGTTTTCAATTTTTGCTGTTGCTGTCAAACGCAAAACGACTTACAGTTTGATTGCGTAAAATACCAATAATGGATTATAAAATCTCTTTAAAGTTCTTTTGACCAAAGACGGCAAAAAGGTGTTTTTCTAAATAGATTTCAACGCTAAATCTTCTTTATAATCTTATGATCACAGTTAATTTAATCTGAACGAACATTTTTCGCTTCCATGTCCGACACAGTCTCTACGCTCTTTGATTCAATCTGATTCCGTA